CTAGGTACCCCAGTGGCCATTGTCTGTTTTGGCAAGTGAATTTTATTCAGGGCTACTATCTTTAATGTTCAACTTGCCCTGAGGACATGCAAGTGTCCAAAAAAGTAAAGTTAACACCACTGAAGAGATTTGATAACGTTTTGGTGAGGTTATGTGCATTCAAACATCAGAACTGCAATTTGTTGTAAATTTGTTGGCACCGTTTATTTATATCCCGTACCTAGGTACCCCAGTGGCTGTTGTCTATTGGCAAGTGAATTTTATTCAGGGCTACTATCTTTAATGTTCAACTTGCCCTGAGGACATACAAGTGTTCAAAAAAGTAAAGTTACACCACTGAAGAGATTTGATAACGCTTTGGTGCGGTTATGTGCATTCACACATCAGAACTCCAATTTGTTGTAAATTTGTTGGCACAAATTTTGAACTTGCCGGCACAAATTTTGAACTTGCCTGCACAAATTTACCATTTTTTTTTTTCATAAGATTATCAATTTAAGCGATTACACTTCGGTTGAGACTTTGCTTTTGGTCGGACTTTGGTCATTCAACTGATTAAATTTTTCTTTAAAATGTTTTGGCCAGTTGAATCTTCAATCCCTGTATTGTTAATCTTTTTGGGCAAAACTAGTTTATTTGTATTTATTTATTTATTTCAATTAAAACACAAATTTGGTATTTTTGTTACTAAAAGCTGATTGGTCATTTGGTCCAGTTCTTGAATCCGATTGGTTGAATGAAAATGTGTGCAATTTGTCCTGAAGCAATCTTAGCTCAAATCACACTCAGATCGCAGAGTGTGATTTGTCGTAAACTCCATCTCAAAATGAGGTCAGCTAATTTGACTTTTATAGTTGTAATAGATCTCAAAATGAAGTACTCAGCTAATTTCACTTTTATAGTCGTAATAGGCATAATTACAATTCTGGGGGAGCATTCCCCCGTACCCCCTAGAAATCATGTGCCTTGGCACTTCCCCCAGACCCCCCTAGAAATCTTGTGCCTTTGGCACTCCCCCTCCCCAATATTTTGCAAAGTTTTCGCCACTGAACATAATACTCAAACATAACGTATCGTAGCATTTTTGTTTGTATCAAAGTCATTAGTTCCACTCTGGTGTGCTCAGGAAACACAGAAATTTGCTACACTTCAATACAGTTGGAGTGGAAAATGGCCTTTAGGGTGGGGGTTAGGATCACAGTTTTATATTTTTAGGTTACCTAGGACATGATTTTTAAAGTAAACAATTTTATATTCACTGGTTTCATTTGGTTAGGGTAGGAATAGGGTGGGGGTTAGAATAGGGTTTATTTGTAGAATTGGGAGAGTTTAAAATCTTTTTAATAAAGGATCTTTGTTCTTGAATCTCGATAAATAAAATTATGTCAGGTCAGTTTGCTTAGAGCTAACATAAACAGGTCTGAAAAATTCACACACACGGTTTTTAAAATGAAATTATAAACAAATATTAGGTCATATTAAACTTTACCAGAAACTCAAACTTGCATCAAAATGTTGTTTTGTATACATAAAAGTTTCATACAAGCCCAGTTAAGTGAATTTCACACAACAGTAGTACAAGCCACAACTACCATGTTGTGCACATAGCCAGCAGGCTTATGACCTGTGCACATTCTAAGTTTTTTTTTTTGGGGGGGGGGGCAGCAAGTGTGTAGTAGCGAAGGTCAGAATTTATGAATTCACCAATTATTTAGTTGTTACACACCATAGTACTAGTAGATATTAAAAAAATACATGGATAACTTGCGTTGTGAAAATCCAATTTTTTTGTGCGTCAATAACAGAAGGAAATTGTGTGCACCAATGTTCACCAAAGAGGGATTATTGGGTAAGTTGTGCACCAATAGAGCAGCCTTTGTGCGTGCCGTGGACATCACCTTCATTCCATACTGGACACGACAAACGCAAATGTATAATATTTATACAATTAAACATCGATCTGTGTAAACATCGATCTGTGTTGGTGTAATGTACTCAGGTGAATAAGATGCTTGCGATGTTACTCTGAGTGTGTATCCACACCGGGCGGCCTGAAAAATATGCCTGGCCACGGTGGGAATCGAACCTACGACCTTTGGAATACTAGCCCAATGCTCTGCCCACTGAGCTACGCAGTCAGGTCGGTTCGAGTATGCAATATGAGATGCGAACTGAGTCTAGTTCCTTCGATATCAGTGTAATGTAATAATCATGATATTTGCTGTGTTGGTGTAATGTACTCAGGTGAATAAGATGCTTGTGATGTTACTCTGAGTGTATAGGAGACCTAGATTGCTGACACTGCTGAAGAGGCACACCAAATTTGAAAATCCAAGATGGCGGCTCAACTGGTCAAAAATCATAGAGCGACATATGTTTTTTGCATTTTACGTCTGCCTACTGTTGCCGATCCCGTTGAATCACCTTTTTTTGAAGAACTAACTGGTTGTGAAAGTTTTGGATGTATATTTGTTATAATTAGTACGATTTACAGTTTAAAATTCAACCGGGCAAGCTTGGGCAAAGACGAAAATGGTGCGAAACTGCCTGCCTGATTTTTTCCCTGTGTATTCCTTCAGTCTTTTACCAGTTTTTCTCAACTAATGTGACATATATCTGACTATTCCAAAAGTTACTACTATTTATTTTGTTCTTTCATTGTTATTTCGACCAAAATACAGTATTTTCATCTGAAAATTCTAAGGGCATTCTATTCTAAAAAATCTGTTTTTCTATCAAAACGAATGCCTTGAATCTCGGCCTGAATTGTGTGCTGAGTATAACTGCAAGGCCAGATGTGGGGATTTAAAAGATGGTATTCGCTTGTCCTTCCATAAGTAAGTCTATGAAACACACATATTGTATATTTGTACACTATAACATACTTCATATAAACAGAATAGTATAAGACTATTAAAATAAGACAGCTTTTAATAGCATAAAAACAATTTGTTTTGTAAATACAGTAATCACAACAAATGTAGTTTTGAGCTTGTTGGCTACAATATAAATCTGTTTACAGTTTTAATAAAAGAACATTAGACCAAAAAGAACTTCTTGTTTTGATGTCTGTGTTAGGAGTCTATATTTATATGCATCTTGACAACAACTTTCATAGAGGTCTTTGCCCGGTTGAAGGTCAAAAAAATTCGAGTTTTGTCCACATCTGAACCAAAATACATATTTCCCTTCACACTATTTAGATTTCCTATAACCAATCCCAGCCTACTAAAAAGTTGGATAATAGCAACGAAATGGCCAGACTGGAGCGTCTACTGTAAGTGGGGCCACTTAGAGAACACTAACCAATCGCATTGCAGAACAGAAAGAAAAATCTAATCAAACTAAAGCTCGTCCAATCAAAAGAAAGATTCAGGAAGCCATTAACTGCAGTGTTTACTTTTACAAGTCTATTTTTACCGTTTGACATTCGTTGATTTGTTCAAATTGTTTTTGGCCTAATGCTGATTGGCTAATGCGCCGTTTGTTGATTTTTTCAATTTCTGTTCTGCAATGTGATTGGTTAGTGTTCTCTAAGTGGCCCCACTTACTGTAGACGCACTGTAAGTCGCATTGCGCCCTGATGTGCCCTACTTTATTATTTTATTTTGTCTAACAGCAGATGCTTTTACTCGTCAAGGGGAGAGTGCTGGCGCATAATGTGTTAACTGGCCTATCTGCCCATGGGTCCAGTTAACGGCTTACTGTATTTTGCGAAACGAAACTTGCGAAACTGCATTTTGCGAAACTGTATTTTGCGAAACTGTATTTTGCGAAACTGTATTTTGTGAAACTATATTTTGTGATGATTCTGCTAGTAGAGTTGGCAAACATTTGTTTATAAAGACTGAAAATAAATCAAAGACAAAGTGCAGTACATTGCTTTGAATGCTTTCACATGGAACTTTATACATGTACATATAAAATGGTGTGGATTGATTTTGAAAGAAAATATGGCGACACCACCATAGAGATTATAAATAACACTAGAGGGGGGCCAAGGGGCATTGTAATCTTAATTCAGTCAAAGGAAGGGAACACGTCTATTGGGGGGCAAAAAATTAAAATGCTAAAATAAGAGAGAGTTTGAGCCAATATATCTAAATTCTTGTTTATGGCAGTTAACTGAGTTCTGTTTTGATTTTTACCAAGCTTTTTACCACAATTTTGTTTATAACACATTGCAAACAGTGTTCCAAAACAATGCTGATATCAGTAATGTTGATATCTTCAAGAGAAATTGTTTGAATTCAAAATTTTGGGGGAATGTTTGTAATAATGACATAAAACACCCAGTTTTGTGACTCTTGTTTTAAATTTTTCTGGTTTCAAGTGCAACCCAAAACTTGTGTGGTGTTTACTATTCGTGATTTCAATCCCCCCCCCCGCGCTCCCAAATTTCACCCTGGATTCCCCCTCTATCATTATTTATCTATCCCGGCCAACTCGACTAGCAGAATCATGGCCAAATACAGTTTCGCAAAATACAGTTTCGCAAAATGCAGTTTCACAAAATACAGTTTCGCAAAGTTTCGTTTCGCAAAATGCAGTAAGCCCCAGTTAACCCACTGGATAATTTTACTCGTCAAAGGGAGAGTGCTGACGCTTAATGGTTAGTAAGGGAAAGAATCCAATCCAAGAAATAGCTGAAAGAATATGCTGTCCCATCTATTTTTTATTTATATCAATGATGAATCAATCTTGTTTCTTGGAGAAAACTAGATATACTGTGAAGGTTTAATAATAATAATAATAGTCTTTATTAAGAAAACCTCAGAACACCCATCTGAGTTTACATGAAAATACTGCATTCTACAATTTTATAGTTTGTGACTAATTATAGTTATAATATACTAGTTAATATGAATATCAAATAGTTAAAACTCTGAAAAAGGTAAAATATGTACAATATAGAATCATATAAAGTTGAATAAACATCGATTTATATAGGAATTTTTTAAGCGTTCTGTCCTTATTCGTGGTAATTCATAAACATGTCCTCAATGCAATGGATTGTTCACATTTGATGTCACTTTATCCCATAACTTCTTGTCTCTGGAACCTATTATTTCTTTCATCGAGTAACCTTTTGAAGTATAACCATATTTTCGTGCTCTACTTACAAATTTATCAATTTGTTTCAAATATTTGTCATAATAGGCACATCCCCATAATTCTATTCCGTATGTCAGTACAGACATAATTAGACTATTGAATAACAAATCTAATTGTTCTATTGTCATTCCGTAGTATTTGCATACTCGCATAATCTGCATTCTACTGTTTGCCTTATTAATCAGCTGGTCAAAGTGCATGTCCCAGTTGCTTGGATTTTCTTGCAATATTGTACCTTGAATTTTCAGCCAGGTCTTCCTTTCGATCATTGGTATTGGATTAGGTATAGACCTATGAACGTTGCCACACATAACCATTTCCCAAGTTTTGTCCATGTTTAGTAGCATGCGATTTCTTTGAGACCACTCGATTATATTGTCCACTTCAATTCTAGATGTATCGCCTTCATTTGTTCCAGGAACTCCTAAGGTCATGTCATCCACAAATTTAATTAATTCATTTTGATGGTCAATTGCTTTAATATCGTTTACCATAATCGAAAAAAGAATTGGCCCTAAAACTGTTCCCTGCAGAACACCACAATTAATGTCTAGGTAGTTTGTGATGATGCCATCAACTACAACTCTTTGTTGTCTATTTTTGAGAAAGTTAATAGTCCAGTTGATAATGTATGGATTTATAGCTAAGCGTTTCAGTTTCGTACATAATATGTCATGTGGAACATTATCGAAAGCTTTGCTGAAATCAAAAGAGAAAATTCTTACGTAACTAGCATCATTGTCCAACCACTTTAACCAGGTATGATGGCATTCGATAAGGGCCATAGTAGAGTTATGTCCTTTCTTATAAGTGAATTGATCCTGTCCAATAAATTCACTTACATGAGATAGTTCTGTTTTATGTACACATCTTTCGAATAGTTGCATTATAATAGCAGTGAGATGGGCCTTAATTGATTGCAGGTTTTCAGCAGAGATTCCTTTGGCAGTGGTAATACATTTGCTTTTTTCCAGGTGTTTGGAACTATGCCTGTCATTAAGGAACAATTAAATATTGTTGTAATAACTGGTGCTAGATCTAACGAGAAGTTCTTCCAGAACCAGTAAGGTAGGTCATCAGGGCCAGCAGCAGTTTTTTGCTGTTTCTGTAAGAACTGTTCAACCATATTAATGGACAAGGTTGGGATTTTAGTGCCTTCTGGAATCACGCAGAGGTCGGGAGCCTTGTAATTGCAATCAGTATTTATATTTTTAAAATGAACATTTATATCATTTGGATCGATTAAAGCACTTACTGAAATATTGTTTTTGGTCCTCGACGTAATGCTGTTGACTGTTTCCCACCATTTTTTTGAACACCCGTCTTGTGATTGTTATATTCCTGTCTAACTGCCCTCCTTTGGTTTTCAAGTATAAGTGAGTTTATCTTCTCCTGTAGACGATTTCTAAGTTCGGAATCCTGTTGTCTCATCGCTTTCTTTCTAAGATTGAGGAGATGTTTCACCAAGGGCGACATAAATGGAGGATCGCGTGTAGACAGTCTTACTTTTATACACGGAAAGCACTTTTCAAACAATGGACAGATTATTTCATAAAACGTACTGACCATTTCATCCACGGTTTTCTCGTCTGAAGTTATAACATCCCAATCGACATGTTCCAACTCGCGCATCATTTTTAACTGGTTCTGATGTCTACCGTCTCGAAAATATGCTGTTTTCCTGTTTGCTTTTACAGTTTCCCTAGGATGTGCTAAAACCATGCTGTGATCAGATCTTAGTAAACTTTTTTCCACTTTGATTTTCTTCCAAAAGTGTGGTACATTTGTAAGGAACACGTCTAATATTCGTTGACCTCTGGTGGGTGATTTAACAAGTTGAACAAACGAGAGCTGGTTTGTTATTTCTTTGATATTCAGCTGATTTACATCTCGTTTTTGATGCATACCAGACAAATTAGTCAGTTTCTTCAAACTAGTTTCCATTGAAAACTTTTGCTGTCACTAGTTACACTGGCCTGTAGGCCAAGTGTCTTAAATCCCTCTTTTTCTGTTTTTTCCCCCTGTGTTTTCCTGGTTTTTTTCGTAGTCGAGAGATCGAGTTTGCGTTAGCTCATCGCAGGCTCGGGGTGCAACGACTAAGCCAAAATGCCATCGATTCCCTCAGTTCCATGATTTAGATAGTATAGTAATAAGTCCGTATTTATGTACGTAATTGCCGACTCATGCCATGCTTGTGGTGCATTTTTCGTTTATTAGCCCATACACTTGTACGCACGCGCACAATTCCGAACTCCAATGGCGGCTTTTCACCGAGTGATCAAACTATATTTTACACAGTTTCGTTGAATTTTCAAACAATTGTGCCGGTTTCCTATGGATTTTACGTTGTGTCGTACTCTGGACTTTCTTACATGTTGAATTAATGTGTTTTTCTTTGTGTAACGACTCGAAAACCACAAAATTTAGACCCAGCGAAGACAAGGACAAGTTAAAGGCTTAAACAAGGACAAGTTAAAGGTTTGACTTTTTAATAAACAACTATAAATATACGTTGTGGACTCATAACATCCGTTGTGTACTTGTGTTAATTTTTGCATCGCACTCTGAACTTTCTTGCCTGTTGAATTAATGTTTTTCTTTTTGTATTAAATCAAACGACTCGAAAACCCCAAAATTTCATAAATTTGTACCCAGCGAATTTATACAATATATTGGAATATAAACAAGGACAAACTCTCCTAATTCCTTATGATAGTTTTAGTCAAATGTTGACAATATACCTTTAAATACATGTATTAAAATCCGCACAGTACTAGAATTAAGAGAATTCGCGTAGCGCTGGCTGCTGGGTGCGGAAATTTTAGTACTGCGCGAAATATAATCCGCGCAAAAAGCTTTGTGGTAGCTATACTAAAGATAAAGCGTGCGTTCAAAATACCAACAAGGCTAGAACCATCATTGTATGGTTCTCATTTGCTAGACTTGCCACAAGTCGACCTTGAAGAAACGCATTTCGTTCGAGGTTGACTTGTGGCAAGTCTACTCATTTGCCTAAGGCGTAAAAAAAAAATACCTGTGGCGTGCGAGTAAAAACCCGATATTCTGAAAAATTCAAAATAAATATTCCTACTCTGTGCCGTATTCAAACGAAACTTTGTACATGAAAGCGCTTGAATACAAGATGTATGTTACTCACATTGACTCTGAGCAAATTCTGAAGAGTTACTAAAGAATACTAAAGCAGGATGCATTGCCTGTTAATGGGTTAATAAGAGACATTGGCAGATGTGTTTGTTAACCCATTTACTGACAGTACTCTGCCACTAACAAGTAAAATCGTCTGGCGTTACAGTGTAAATTGATCTGGTGTTAGCCAGAGTTAATACTAAAGTAGTGTGCATTGGCAGCTAATAGGTAATAGACCTTAATATCCACTAATTTTGACCCAAAAATGGCTTCATTTTCATGTTGGCTATTTACTTGTATACCGTGCACACAATTTAAGAATGAGTTTGTGAACGGGCTTAAGATGAACGAGAAGGAAACATTGGGGATATAACCGAGAATTGTGTAAAGTATAAATTTTTGCATTCAGTTCATACGCCAAAAAGGCAGCACTTTCCTTGCGATAGTAACTCCTAGTTATAGATTTGCACCATTAATGTCTCCCAAAAAGGTCTTTTATTTTTTAAAAAAAGTCCATAAAATTTGCTTGTGGTTTAAGATTTGTATTCCTGCCTTTTGCACCATAGCACGTATCTCGTTATTTTCAGGCCAGTGTGAACGCCTGAGCAGGCATCTTGTTCCCTCTAAAATCCTGATTGATTCGTCACTTTTCACTGTCCAGGCCATATAGACTCAAGATCCCTTGACATCTGCAGCAGCAAGGAGGTCATTAAAGTTACACTAAACACTTGTAAACAGAGCATCAGAGTTTTTGCACCATCAGACCAGGTAAATCAAGCAAAATAGGTTTTAAACTTCAAAATACTTCACAATATGATTCCCTGTTATATATCCCAACCGAGATCCTCGAAAAAAAAGCACCCAAAACCTTTAATTTCTGCAACAAAATGTCTCGAACTGCTCAACTGACCATGTGATGATTTTCAGAAATCATTTAGCGGTTGATTATTTCGTCTTTATTGAACTTAAATTGTACAAATTTTCATCCAAAACATTCACACCAGCTAGTTCTTCCCAAAAAAAAGGTGGTTCAACAGAATCTGAAACAGTAGACAAAAATAGGTGGTTCAACAGAATCGGAAACGCTCTATGATTTTTGACCAGTTGAGCTGCCATTTTGAATGCCCATGTTGGCGTGTGGCGTGTGTAATAGAATACATTACAGTCAGCAATCTAGATCTCCTATATCTATGGTATATCTACACCGGGCAGGCCTGACAAATATGCCTGGCCACGGTGGGAATCAAACCTACGACCTTTGGAATACTAGCCCAATGCTCTGTGGAGCTACACGGTAAGGTCGGTTCGAGTATGTGATATTTCAGAACTGAGTCTAGTTCCTTCCATATCAGTGTAATCTAATAATCATGATATTTGCTGTGTTGGTGTTTACACTGATATCAAAGTGTATTAGGTTACACTGATATCAAAGGAACTAGACTCAGTTCTGAAATATCACATACTCGAACCAACCTGACCGCATAGCTCAGTTGGCAGAGCATTCCAAAGGTCATAGGTTTGATTCCCACTGTGGCCAGACATATTTTTCAGGCCTGCCCAGTGTGGATATACACTCAAAGTAACATCACAAGCAGATTATTCAACTATTGGAAATTTTGGATCCAAATGAGATTTTATATTTATGATTTGCGTCGGCCATACTATATTTATGACTTGCTTCGGGCCATACTGACAAATGTAGCATGATTGATGGTATAACATTGAACCTCAAACGAGTTGAAAATGATACTCAAAGGTGACTTTGTACACTCCAAATGAGATTTTATATTTATGATTTGCTTTGGGCCATAATGACAAATGTGGCATGATTGATGATATAACATTGAACCTCAAACAAGTTGAAAATGATACTCAAAGGTGACTTTGCATAATCAATAGACAAGTTACAACATAGAATAAACTTAACAGTAAGTAAAGGTTTGTAGAATGTACCTGTCCGGTGGATTCATCTTTTTGAGCAAGAAATACTTGACAATATAGCACATGAAATACAAATATATTTAGCGTGAAAGCGTGCAGAAACCGTGAGTGGGAATGTGGGATATGCAAAGTTATCCTAAGAAGATGTTTTCGTTCGGTCCAATGAAACACAAGTATTACTCACAATACAAATGTTATCCATAAATGCACATGGTCTCTGTGGAAGATAGGGACTCAGGAGGTCTGGAACTGGTAATTGTGCACATGTGTACAAGTGTATGGGCTAATAAAGAAAGATGTACCACAAGCATGGCATGAGCCGGCTACCACATATATAAATACGAGCTTGTTGCTATGAAAACTAAATCAAGCAGTCGAGGAAAACAGGTGGGAAATTTGTCTGTGCATGCGCTACATTTTGCGCGGTTTAAGAGAAAGAGACTTGGGGCGAGTAAATACAGTAATTTGATTTTTGAGCGTTTTATTTGCGTTTTTGCTTCGTTTTTTTTGCTAACCAAAAATTGTTAATCCATTGCATTGTTGGGAAGGCGAGGAAGGTATGAGAACATTCACAGCCTAAAAATATTTTAAAAATTGCAACTTTTGCGTAACCTGATATATCGGAACTGCCTCAGATTCCGATGGAAATGTCCAATAATGCCTACTATTCCGTATTTTTAGATGAATGAATTATCTCCCAAAATAAAGTATATGTTTCAAGGAATAGTTTAAACCATATTTGGTTTTGAGGCTCTCGACTAGATTTTAAAATAGTTTAATTTTTTATTTTATTGTGCTAACCTTTACCCACATAATATGCTCATATTTTCTGAATCAATAAACGCTAATCGTTCAACGAATATGCTTTTACGAACACGATTTGCAAACACATGCAATTTCTAGCGGAATATTCAGAAGGCATCTATTCAGACTACTACAGACCACATTAGACGGTTGTGCCGTTTTTTATATCAACCCGTATTTTCATATGAACAATACTTTGATTAGTGAATTAAGAAATCTTTGAAGAATCATTTAGAGATAGTCTCGTTTTGAGGCTCTCGACTAGATTTTTCACAATCTTAAGTTGAAAATTTAGCTTTTTCCTATTTTTAGCAAAATCACAATTAGTATTTTCAAGGATTTAATCATAAATAAACTTTCCAAAGATGTTTCTGAGTAGAAAAATACGTTAAAAACAAATTTTCAACCCACCCTGAGTTTATTTTTTTAATTTCATCTGTCCAGGGAGTGAAAACAACTTTCATCTTTGCAAAAAGTTAAATTTCATTGATATTTCGTTGTATAAATAAATAGTTCATAATTGTCCGATTTCAGTTTAAAGTCTTTTATCCAGGACATTTTTCAATAGCCTTTGAATAAACAAACTTAAATTCTTACACAACTACTGTTTTCTTCCCAAACGAGAAGCCCAAAAACTTGCTTTTGCTGATTTTAATAATTTAAAACAAAATTTTCGCGGGCGCCCGCAATTTACAGACCAGCGACAGCAAATTTCCCACCTGTTGTTGAGGAATCAATGGCATTTTGGCTTAATCGTTGCACCCTGAGTCTGCGATGCGCTAACACAAACTCTCTCAACGACGAAGAAAACAGAAAATTAGGGAGTTAAGACACTTGACCTTTCAGGTCATTTCAGGTCAGTGTAATAACAAAAACCTTGAAAGATATGGTCAAAGACAAAATTTGGTGTAGTCCTTTCTTTCACATAACAACAAAATAAAATAAACTTTATAATATCAATATTCATGTGTTCTTGCCTCATAATGAAAGTATTGTAGGTTTGGGTCCCATATATATGGTTCAGCCACAAATATCTTTATATAGAAGAATTTGTTTGGTTTTCAAGACGGTACTGAGATGATGGTGTCCAGTATATAAAATTTGGTATGCTGTTGGCATCAGCCAGTTTGGAGAATGTGGCACATTTGACGACATCTAGGGTGTGCTAAACCAGATTTCTGAGGTGTGGGTGCGTTTGAAATCATCAGGTGTGCACCTAAAAAGTTGTAAAAATCACCATTAAGATGACAAAAACTTAAAGTACTACAACAAAGGCAAATTGAAGAGATCCCTTCAAGAAATCAAGGATTTTTAAGGTAAAAACACCAGTATTGCTGTGTTTTACCCCCATTATTTGACATAGAACTTGATCATGTCATACTTGATGAACTTTATTTAATTAATAGAATATCATTATTATTATTATTGTTATTAATTACTTGGTAATGTCAGACAACAACCAAAATATATATGTTATTGAATTGACAATCGGCTTTGAAACTAATATGGCAAAAAAACTGTTTTAGGCAAAACGATACCAGGATCTTTTTAACTTTTTAAAAGAACAATTTAACAAAGTAACATATTTTAACTTATGCATTGGCATGATTGGAGTTTTAAGTCATGAATGTAAATAGTTCTATGACTTCTTGGACCGTGAAGTAAGATTAAGCAACATGCAAAGAAAATTCATCATTAGAAAACTAATTGGTTGCTGCATTAGGACAAGTTACTATATATTTTGCTCCAGGAACAGACAATGGACTTGCCCTTACTTTTATATTGGTAGAATTTTATGCTGTCATGTGTATGTATAGTAGTTATCTTATTTGACACATGTATGTATAGTTATCTTATTTGCCTTGCATGGGACCTTGAGTCCCGTTCGCACTCCTACCGTTTGGTCACTATCCAATAAAGTATTTAAAACAAGACACTGTCCACGCTGTTATACCTTGCAAACATATTTTAATATGCATTGTAATAGATTTCTGTAGAAATTCTAAAATATTTTGATGATTTGTAAATATTTTAAGCTTAGTTTAATACTGTATTCTCTTCTTAATCCTTTGTACCATATTGTAGCCAGGTTGCCTAGTACTTTAGTGAGAGCTGGTTACTTGTAATATTTGTATGAAATAAAATGTGTTTCCATTCATTTTTGTGTGTTTCCAAATAGGCTTTTCAACACTCAATTACAAAATTATTACAAATATGTATATATAATGTAAAATTATATGTTTTAATTAAATACCAACTAATATGTTCTATATTTAATTATAATAAAAATGATAGTCCAGTTCTGTATTTAATAGAGGGTCCTGGAGGGGGGGGGGAGGTCCCAATCCCATTTCCCACCTGAAATTTTGGCAAAATCCCAGTCCCAGTTGGATTTTTATTAGAAATCCCAGTCCGAGTTATTGAAATCCCAGGCGATAAAAAACCCTTTATTTATCGGTAGAATAAACAGTTTTAAAAGTGAATGTCAGTAAAAATCGAACATATGAGATATTTCGCGGCCACGACTGAAAAATAGATTTTGCTCAAATTTTGCCCAGATATACCTTATTATATCGGAAAATGCACCATATATTTTTTTAGGTCAAATGCTTTTTTAACTTTGAGAAATTGCCGTTTTAACACGACCACCCTAAATCGCCATTTTGTCTGGGAAAATATGCGCTGATTTTACCGACAAATTTCACGACGACAACCGTTTCTAATCGATCTAAAACCCTAAAAATCTTGTTTTCGGTTATTCAAAGGCCCAGGTACCTGACTTACAAGAAATCTGAGTTACTTTTAGGAATAGAAATAATCGTAGTTTTGGAGCACACTATCTTACTTCATTTACGATACCCTTTTAACAAAACCGATTTTCACTATGGGATAAAGCTCCAAATCGATCATGCTTCTACTAGTTGGCTCTTTGATAAACAAGCTTTCAATTGACGTAAATACTTCTTTGGGCAAATGAATACGTGATAAACAACAGCGCGCTGAAATCGTCCGTTTTTGACATCTTGCAAGTCAAACGCTGTTAATTTACATACCGTCGAAGTAAACAATTTAATCAAGTATTCTAAGTATTTTACCTTTTGAGAAGAAGATATATTCTTGAATGGAGACCTTTTACCTTGCTAAGTTTAAAATTGGTCCAAAAATCCCGATATATTTGTAAAATATCATCATATACAGGTATTTTGAGATATAGGCCTAATATTGTTGTCAGTTGCATGATAACGTCAGATCACTAGCTGTTCAATATTGTCTACTTTTAATAGCGCTAACATACAAATCGATGAGCTGTTTAGGGATTATATTTGCTACTAAATTTCCCAAAATTAGAACTTCAATTATTGTTTTGTTCCAGTTTGATCCATATAATGTACCATTTTACATATCGACTACCGAGTATAAATGTTTACGAATACATAAGTTAATTATTAAGCAGCTGTTAATAGCGTGCGTGTGAAATGAACATTAATCCATACAAGGATTTGTTATTTTATTATATATTCTACCACCTCAAACTCAAATTATAGCAAATAGATTAGAATAATTATTTTAAGGTGTGTTCACTTTGATGCACAGTTAAAATAATCAGTAAAATTACTTTATTTTGATACACTATTGTTTGTTGATCTTATTATATTCCACAAGTACTAGTACCCAAAAATACAGCATTGAGATATGTTACCCCAGTGCGCCACCAGAAATTATTATTGTCTCCCCACACGTCGCGTTTAAAGAAAATGGAAGCTTGTTGCTCGTTTAACGCCGGATTAACCACGTGTCAGATGCGGCAAATGCCACAGGCCTCGCGCTTATTGGGGCCTCGCGCTTTACTGTGCCACGCTCATTTTTAAGAGAACATGGCCATTTTCTATTGGGACACACACATTTTAGGTGCCTCGCGAATTTAGGAACCTCGCGCATTTAGGGCGCCTAGGCTTGGCAGTTGGTCCCAGCACGGCCCCGGGAAAATATGCAATACTCGTGTGCATATAATCTCCAGTTGTGTTGAACTGTTATATTATGATCCTGTTTATACATGTTGACCCAACAACTGGGCCAGGCAGGCCATTGTCTCATTTATAATTGATGCCAATAAATTGAAATATTGAAAAAAATTATTTAACAATTTTGTTTGTCTTTAAATTCAAAGGTTTTCATAACAAGGTGGAGGGGAGGGGGACCTCGCGCTAAAATCTGCCACGAGCCTCGCGCGACGTTAATCCGGCCCTGGTCACTTGTCGGTAGTTCTTGTGGTTTTAATGCCAATTGCCAAAGATCGAAAGAGAGCACCGATGACTTCCCCCCTCGGAGAATAACTGGCGCAGCCCAGGCCAGCTCAGTGAAATATGGGGGCCCAGGGCCAATTATACCAATTATACCCTGGTGAACCACAATTATTCCCCCATCTGTCGATAAACTTTTTATCCCTTGCAAATTTGTATTTGCCGGCCCTCCTTGAGCTGGGGTCGTGGAGAAAATTGCTCCCTTTGCCACCCTCCCCCTGCATGGGCGGCCCTGGCGCCACCCCTGTCTTATCATAACTATCTACTTCAAATAATTTTTAAAGCCCTGTTCTTTTCCAAGTAGTTTTTTGTCCCGAAAAAGTAAAAGACTTAGAAATGGTGATTAAATTATTTACTACGGTATGTCATTTAATAACGAGCAAGGGTTATAGTAGGGATAGGGTTAAGTTATAAAGTTGGTGTTTGGAATAGGGTTAGTGTAAAGCTTTGTTACGTTTTGTCATTCTGAGGCCAGCAAAATAACCTTTTACGCAACATGCATGCGTACGCGTCTACTATCGTCAAGAAACAATCAATACGTATAATCGTTGTGGTCTGTGGGATTTTAATGAGATCAATAGTTTAAACCTTGCAGTTTTAACACACATTAGCCGAATTCATATTAGAGACGGGAAACTCGTATTAGACGGGAACTCGTCTAATATGAATCCGGAGACAGACGAGTTTCGCGTCCGAACATTCCCGTCTAACTTACCGATCTAAACGGATGGGAAAGTTCCATTTAAGGAGTTTTTATTTTTAGTTTACCAGCCCTTATATTTGAATAGCCGAATTCATATTAGGGACGCGAAACTCGTCTTAGACGGGAAACTATAAACGTTCATTTCATGTACACGCACGCTAACAGCTGCTTAATAATTAACTTACGTCTTCGTAAACATTAGTTGATACATAAAATGGTACATTAATTAATATGGACAGAATGGAACAAAACCTCTGAAAACAACAGTTGTAGTTCTAATTATTTTGGTAAATTTAATAACAAATATAATCCCTAAACAGCTCATCGGTTTGTATGTTAGCGCTATTAAAAGTAGACAATATTGAACAGTGATCAGAAGTTATCATGCAACTGACAACAATATTATATCTCAAAATACCTGTATATGATGATATTTCACAAATATATCGGGATTTTTGGACCAATTTTAAACTTAGCAAGGTAAAAAGTCTCCATTCATTCAAGAATATATCTTCTTCTCAAAAGGTAAAATACTTAGAATACTTGATTAATAAATTGTTTACTTCGACGGTATGTAAATTAACAGCGTTTGACTTGCAAGACGTCAAAAACGGACGATTTCAACGTGCTGTCGTTTATCGCGTATTCATTTGCCCAAAGAAGTATTTACGTCAATTGAAAGCTTGTTTATCAAAGAGCCAACTAGTAGAAGCATGATCGATTTGGAGCTTTATCCCATGGTGAAAATCGGTTTTGTTAAGAGGGTATCGTAAATGAAGTAAGATAGTGTGCTCCAAAACTACGATTATTTCTATTCCTAAAAGTAACTCAGATTTCCTGTAAGTCACGTACCCGGTCCTTTGAATAACCGAAAACAAGATTTTTAGGGTTTTAGATCGATTAGAAACGGTTGTCGTCGTGAAATTTGTCGGTAAAATCAGCGCATATTTTCCCAGACAAAATGGCGATTTAGGGTGGTCGTGTTAAAACGGCATTTTCTCAAAGTTAAAAAAGCATTTGACGTAAAAAAATATATGGTGCATTTTCCGATATATTAAAGTATATCTGGGCAAAATTTGAGCAAAATCGATTTTTCCCGTCGTGGCCGCCTTATGTTTGATTTTTGTGGACATCCTCTCTTAAGACCTTTTAAGCCACCGTGTGTGCAAGTGGTGGACACTTTATGAAATATTGGGGGCTCGTGCCAAAGGCTAAGAAAATTTTTAAAATTTGAATCCCAGAAATGGCAATTGCAGCATTCTGAGACCAGTCAGAGACATGCATAATCAGAAAACCCAGAATTCTGGGCTCCAGAGTATGCCTGTTCGCAGGTAGTGCCATGAATAATATAGTTAACAACAAAAATCATAACCAAAAACACCAAAAACGGATCAAAATTGGGAATCGACTCGCATTACTTCAATCCCATTCCCATTTTTGAGGACTTCATTTCCCATTCCCAGTGGCCATGCTGTGTGGTGTGAACATTAAGAATGCTGCAAGAAACTTTTTGAGAAGTCTGCAGCTAGCCTGCCTCATTTTTCTCAAATGTAAGCATACAATGTGCCGAGATCTTGAATGTCAACAACATAATTTATATTACTAATTTTTGTCCATGATTGGCAGACATTTTCAACAAACTGTCCAACAACATCAGGTCCAAATGTTTGACTGACCAGACCTCTATTTGCAATAATTAACTTTGTGGGTGACTTTGCATCAAGGATCTCTTTCAAGTTGTTAATAGTGTCATCTTCTTCAAGGTTCATCCTTTGGTCAAGGAAGTTGATGGCAGACTGAACAACTTCAAGTCGCACCGCACTGTCTTGTCTGCTTGTTGTGGTTACGTATTTTTATTTCTTGCATTCGTCCTCTGGCTCCGTCCACAACTTTCATCAGTTTCAACACTACAATCTTCAAGCTCTTCCAGGTACTTCTCTTCTTTTCCACCAAGCAGAGGCATCTCCTTCAAGATGCTGAGGTTAACAATTGCAGCATCTCTGGCAGATATAACATCAAACAATATTAAGTTGGACTTTTGAAAGACTTTTTGCAGATTCTTGAAAGTAGTATAGGGATTGAGGGTTCTAGACCACTTTTTGACATTGGCTCATACATCACTTTTTCTAATGCAAGCCAATCATCTTGGTCTTCATCAAAAATCTTGATTTATTTTCTAGACCACTTTCTACTAACCATGGTCTATTCACGAAGATTTACTATTTCTATTATCCAGTCGCTGGGACTCTCGGATTTTCACCGATCTTTTCCAACTTCTGGATTTGAACTCTCGTTTAGCATCTTTAGTTTCACCCTTGAGGGAACACAGGGCAGGGGGCCCTTCCTGTCTGCATTCCCCTTGAGGTTATTACTTTCTACTCCACCGTGGTCTTCTAATTGCTACTTATTATATTCTTGTTACCGTAAGCATAACTGGTAACTCCATCCTCCAGAATATACCTCTTGTCGTCAAAGCAACTTAGAGTGACCTTCCTTATTTCATAAGTTCCTATTGTATGTTTGACGCTTCTGATAGTGTTCATGTTGTGTCTCATCCTACCTTTAGTATTTATTACATTCTTAAAGTTCTCATGGGTGAGCTTGTTTCTGATCACATACTTTTTCACTCCTTTGGCTGTCATTCCACCTCCACCATTTTCCTTTACATAAGAGTACATCTTAGACCGTAACCCAACAAACTCAATTATTGGTACTCCCTCAGCTTCGTCTTTAAACTTTCCAATAACTTTCTTATTATGAGCTGAGTAGTACGGAGAATCTTTTGGGTAATCTGAGTTATCCCAGCAGTCTTGCTCTTCGCCGATCCTCCTGAAGTCCTCGTAGACGTCATCTGTCTTTATTTCGTACATAAGACTGTCAGTATCTGTGAACAATAACTTTGCTCCGTCACCGTACTCCTTCTTGATTGTATTGTAGTGGAAATCGTACATCAAAGTCTTTGACAAGTCTAAGATGCTCATTCCCACGTAGCACGGTTTATTTAGAGTCAGAACTTCCTTCGTTCTTTTTACAACTATTAAGTTCTCATTCATGATTCTATGTGACTGGAAGCAGGGTGATGCTGTCAGTTTTAGGAGGTCGTCTTTTGATGACACTAATTTTACATCAACTCTTTTCCTAAGATTTTCCATTGTCTTTCCATAGATTGAGTTGTTCATTAATTTGAAGAAGTTCTTTTCGAACGTGTTCCGAGCAACTGATCTTTTCTTTGTATTGAAGTCGATGTAGTTCTTAAGCCAGGGAGTTTGTTTGAATGAGACAGCTCTGTGGATCTTTATAAGTTTCATTCCAAGGTCTGTGTATAGTTTAAGATTACGTACATGTAAGACGTAGTTCTTTCTTGGACCAAGAGAGTTCACAAGTTTTCTTACTCCTCCAATTGTCAGCTGAAATTTCTCAGCAATACTCTTTGCATAATCAGACAACATTGATGCATCAATCTCCTTGCTCTCCGGTGCTAGAGGATAACCGTTATGTAGGTTGTGAAGTTCTTTTGGATATTCCATGTCAACCTCTAAAACCATACCTCTTTCGCTGTCTCCCAGGTAGTCATCAAGATTTATACCATCAAATTCCTCGACCCACTCAAACTCTCCATTAGGCAGTGGTTGTGACATTGCCCAACCATATAAATTGTTGGCGTCGAGGTACATAAGGTACTTGTTTTCAGACGTCTCATCATACGTTTCCATGTACTTATTATTAGCTGTTGAGTATCTATGAGCAATGTGACTTACACCTCCTCTCATTCCCTTCTCAAAGAACTGGAACATGTCCATATCACTTACAAGCTCTATTTCCTCACCTGACTGTTTCAGGAAGGCGTCCCAACTTAGACCAGGTGCTGACATGTAATGTGCAGGGTCTAGCTTATAATTTTCCAGGCAGGTTCGCCTAAAGTTTTCAAATACATCAGCAAGTAGTAGAACGTCAGTCTCTAGGTAGAGATCGTGGTAGTCTCTCATGGTCTTCATCTTAAAGTGATCCCATACTTTTAGAGCTCTTTGGTAATCCTCTTCCTTCACCTCTGACTCATACAGTGACGAATAAAACTTATCTCTACTTGGAAGACCCTCTGAGTCTAGCTTACTAATGTCATCTAGGAATTCATATGGAAAGACTCCTTTCTGTGTCACTAAGTTGAAGTCCTCACCCTTCCACCTCTTACCTACTATCTTGAAGTCCTCAGGTGAAAGGTTACTCACAAGTGCTTCTAGTGAAGAAGCCATAAACTGTATAGAGTCAATGAACACAATATTTTTACCAAGAGAGAAGGAAATATATTTTTCCATATTATTTGGGATCACGTTAATGTTCATCTTAAACTTACCAATCTCTTGCATAATTAGATGACTATCATAGCCTCTAAGATTGTGGAAGACCACAGGCACTTTCCATGTAATTCTATATTTTAAGTTGCATATATTGTGAGCAGCTCCACGGTACATTCCTGTTACGTGATCGTGGTCTCTCACTCTGTCATCTCCAAGGTCGTTACCACATATTGAACAGTTTCTTGTCATCCAGAACTCAGTTTCCTGTTCAGGTGAAATTACCATCTTTTTCTTGAATATCTGGTTAACCATATCTCTACACTTGAATGACTCTTTCAATACAGTCTTCAGGAAGACCTGTGTGGCATCCTCTCCAACGTAACTGATATACTCACCAGAGTACTTATCATCGTAATGGCAGACTGTTTTTAACCCAAAACTACAGGCTTTATGTGTCTGGTAAAGGTCCGTGCTGCTTTTATCCCCAGGGTTATCAGAATCAACTTTTCTCTCTTCAGGAACAAGTATAGACTCAAAGTCAGCATATATAACAAATGGAGCAGGCATTGAGTTCCTATGGTTTTTGAACTTTATTTTAGAACCTTCCTTGGGAAGCTTTGTGGCTTGAGTTCCATTTACCTCTAGACATGTCTCCTTATGTTTTTCGAGTGACTCTTTGCTTGAGCAGCTGTGAAGACAGTGTAAGCAAAAGTGTTTTTTGTTCGAGTTTCCGTTTACACTGAAGAGCATTCTGTTTATATCCTTTATGAGAACATAGTGGTTATTACCATTACCGTCACCTAAGAGCAGCAACTCCATATGCTCGTCATATTTGGTCTTAGAGTTTCTTATAGGATAGAACTGCTTTTTACCACTATAACCAAACACTGATATGCTCATACTGTTTTTCCTCTCAATTTTTTCGATGTCGCTTATCTTCACAGGGAAGTCTATACCGCTGTAGTCTAGGTTTTCCGCGAACTCCATATCCTGTCGTGTAATGGTGGTTGCTCTTCGGGCTTTCGGTCTTACGTGTCTCACATGACTCCACATGAAACATTTGTTGTCGTTGTTTTTCATATTGATTAGCCCACATTTTGGATTACTAATGTCTGCAGGTAATTTCATATATGAACTACCCTTTAGAGGTTTGTACATCGCAATGTTTACATAATGGCTTTCAATATTCAGAATAATCCAATTTGAACCTAAGTTTTGAAAGGTTTCTATTCTGGCAAGGATGGTCAGTTGATTTTGAGCAGCTGTGCTTTCAATGTCCTCAAAGTTGGTTGTGGTTCCAGTTTTAGACTTAAAGTATATTGAATCTTTCTTTGTCTTGTCATTACCAATATCCTTTGACATTCTCACCTTAATTGTCTCAGTGTATTTCAACCCTCCCATTCTCTTCAGCTCATTCACTAATATTCCTCTTACTACCTGCCTACTTGCGGTCATCTGGTCCAGGGGATCCATATACTGGGGAGTAATTGAATAGGTCACAGCTGCTCCGTTTGCGGCTGTTTCAATTTTCCTGTGGAATGGCTTTTCGAGATATGTTCCAAATGGATCTATTTCGTGTTCCTTAGGTGTGACCACTGCAGGCTGTTCTTTAACTTCCTTAAACACTTTTACGGGCTTTCGTAACTTTGGAGGAGGCACTGGTTTTAGGGTTCTTGGTTTGGGAACAGGTCTTTCCCTAGGAAGTACAGTTCTTGGCTTAGGAACGGGTTTTTCCTTAGGAAGTACGATCCTTGGCTTAGGAACTGGCCTTTCCCTAGGTTTAGGTGTTGGTTTCCAGGGAGCCACACCCTTTGGTACTTCAGGAGCTTTCCTTGTGGGTTTCTTGTTAAGATCCACTTGGATTGTGAACTTACCTGGACCTGTTGGAGTAATAACACTATTTGCAGGAACTGAAAGTTTAATCCTGTTTTGACTTAGGAATCTTTCAGCGACGGTTTGTCTTTTAACCTTAGGTTTTGGTGTTTCAACTACCTCAGGTTTTAGTGGTCTTCCACGCTTCTTTGGGACCTTAACTTCAGTGTCAGACTTAGGCTTCGGTGGTCTTCCACGCTTCTTTGGAATCACAACTTTGTCGTCAGTCTTAGGTTTTGTTGGTCTACCTCTTGGGACCTTTACTTCAGCATCAGACTTAGGCTTTGGTGGCCTTCCTCTGGGACGCTTGGGGTTCCTCTCATTTTCAAGCCTCTTAATTTCGGCGTTTACCTGTGGATCATCTGTTCGCCATCTCCCTCCCATTGTTGGTGGTAGACCTTCAACTCCCCTACTTAGTAAATTCTGGTATGCCTCCTCAACAAGTAGGGCCTTAGCCTTTTGTCTGTCGGAATACTTCCATGTCGGCATAATTCCTCTTTTACGTTTATAGTTAAGTGGGAGTCGTCTCGGTTTCTTAGGATCCGTAGAACGGTCGCCTTCGTCTATGAATTGTCTTTGTCCTTCAAAGGGATCTTTGCCCTTATCCTTAGGTGCAACTCGATAGAACTCATCCGTAAATATTTCCTCAACTTTGTCATCAATGTCGCTACTATCACTATCATCAACTATCTCGCTGAGGGCCATAAGTTGTTCTACAGTTAAATCGTTTAAGTCAAAGTTTGTCGCCATTTTTTCACTCTCTCTCTATATACTATATGTAAAAAAAAAAAAATAGGCCTATTAAAAGGCCTATTTTATTTAATAATTTATTTAACATTTAATTTTATATTTTTTATTTAATTTTATATTTTTATTTAATTTTATATTTTTATTTAATTTTATATTTTTATTTAATTTTATAATTTTATATTCTATTTAATTTTATGGTTTTATATTTTATTTAATTTTATAATTTTATATTTTATTTAATTTTATAATTTATTATTTAATTTCCAGTTATTATAATATTTACAATTTATAGGTTTCCATCCCAACTCGGGGAAGACTCTACCATATAACCTATTCTCAAGGATGTCCACAATTCTTTTGGTCTTAATGTCCTCAGGAGGGTTTCTTAACGTGATGTTGTTCATGCTGGCTATCCTCAGTAGGTAAAACTTATATCTAACTATGTTGCGCCCCCGTTGCAGTCTAAGTCTTTGTATACATCTTACGATGCTTCTAAACTGCTCCCGTATGGTATCCCTATCCCCTGAAGCAACATGCTCTAATAAGTGTCTCTCAAACCAACGGACTCTATTATGACAAGACTTCTTTTTCAGATAGTCGTCCTTGTTGTGGTTGTAACTAACATAGTATGTAAAGCCATTCCTGTCACTTGTACCACATTGTGTGCATACATCTGCTCCATCTATTATTACAATAGACTTACTACCACATTCACTACATATAGGATCATATGTATGTCTTGCTTTTATTCTGCTTTCTGCGTACTTTCTCACTGCAGCTTCTAGCTCTTCCAGTGTATTTGCCTTCTTACCTACTTTTACCATTTCATTGGGTGTCACCATCTCTAACCATTCCATTCCTCTATACTATATATGTGAAAATAAATTGACGTATTTGTTTGGTAATTTTACAGTAATAAGTAGGCTGCCCCTCCAACCACCCCACCTACAATTAAACCGAAGATTGCCATATACTCTTCCATCTCTGAGCTAGGTTTGTAGTGATTGCTTAATTGCGGTCTTCTCGGCATAGCTTTATGTGTAAGCTCATTGATTCTTCTAACAAGCTCTAGTGACTTGTTTGTTGAATTAATATCCCTACTTGCCTCAGCCAGTTCTGACTTCAGTTTGGCTATTCTATTTCTCCTATTGGTGACTTCCTCAAGGTACTTCTCTCTTTCGGCTGTTAAGTTCTCCATTGCAACGTTATGTCTGTGGGCCTCCTCAGCGTATCCATTCTTGTCAAACATTTTAAATAAATATCCTGCTCCAGCAAATGCAAATGCATTAAAGAGTCCTCCTGCTACTGCTCCCGCCATTGTATAGTCTTACTTAGGTTTGAATGGATCATCTGGTATATACTTCTTTTCTTTCAGGTAAGAGACTAGTAGAGATGAGAGGCTAACTGAGACAGCTAGCTTTACCATTCCTTTTACATTCTCTGGGGTTCCTAACGGTTCTTTCAATAGTTTTTTCGATGCCATTGATATACCAACTGCTCCTGCTGTAAGTAACACTGCGTTGTACACTTCCGCGGTCATCTTTGATTCTTTGCTCATCTTGCTATAATATATATTATGTTTAACGTATCATTCAAGTGAATCTAACCTAGACGCATCAGCTTTCCTGGTTACTTCTACAGTTTCAGGGATGTACTTAGGTTCTGGTTTCTTTGTTTCCCTCTGATGCTGATTAAATGCTAGAGCAAGGGATACCAATGCGATGACCACTCCTACATATGCGATCATGTTATTGCTGGATGACTCCTCAGGTTCTGCAAGTTTCTTTTTCCTCTCCTTTGCTATTTTACTGATTGCGGCTAATCGTTTTCCTGCAGCTACTCTTTTTGGGTCTTTCTTCTTTTCACTTGTTACTACTTGAGTTTGCTCGGGTTTATCTTCCATTCTACTTGTAAGATACCTTAGGTTTAACTGGGTTTTATCTTGTGAGACATCTAGAGTCTACTTGTGAGATAACTTAAATTTACTTGTAAGACGTCTCAAATCTACTGGTGAGATAACTTAAATCTACTGGTGAGATAACTGGTGGGATAACTTAAATCTGCTGGTGAGGTAACTTAAATCTACTTGTGAGATAACTGGTGAGGTATCTCAAAATCTACTGGTGAGATGACCTGACTAGTACTTACCTGAACTGAACCTAGGTCTGTACAACCTTACAGCGCACTGTATTTTGTTCACTGCAGCTTTTCTTACAGCTTTCGTGAGTGAGAAGTACTCATTAATTCTAATACAGGTTTTTACTAAGTCATCTGAAATCATTACCATGTATCCCATTCCCATAAGCTTCTGGAGCCATAATACTTGCCTCTCACTTGCAACCCCAGTGCCCTTAGGAGACTTGAATTCAATAGCAAATCCTTTATACTTTCCCATAGGATTCTCTATAATAATATCAGGCTGACCACCTTTGTATCCCTTCTTCCAAGCATCACATCTCTTAGATGATGTATCCTGATACTCACCTAGACCGGGTATTATCACAGCCTCTGGGTAGTTGTCCCTGATGTAACTCACGACTGTGTGGTGGAGGTCTGTTTCATTTAATAGGATCATTTGGTTGTACCTGAGTGCCCTTTATCTGGTAAACTGTATGTGCCAGTTTTTCGTATAGATGGGAGGACTTCCCTGAATACCCAGGCCTGGAAGTGCTCAGCTATTGGAAGTCTGGATTTAAATATAAGCTGGAGCACTCCTGGTTCGTACAGTAGAACCGTATGTTGTTGACGGTGTTTCGGGTGAACAAATGTTCCCCCAATGACTTCCGGTTTTCGGGTGAACAATTGTTCACCCGACATATTTCCCCCAATGGTTTCCGGTTTTCGGGTGAATAATTGTTCACCCGATATATTTCCCAACAATACCTTATTTAATCCCCATACATGATCCCTGACAGCCTTTTGTGGGTTTGAGTACCCCAGAGATTCTGCCACATCTTTTGCGTAGAATAATACCTTCCCATCGCTTTCAACAGTTCTCACACTAACGTTAAGATCTCGGTTCCTGAAGAGTTTTTCCATCTTTCTCTATATTATATATGTAAAAATTTTTGGACCTATTTTATTAAGTATTTAATTTCAATTTATTGATAGGCATTCCCTCTTCCCACCCAACCTATCACCAAGTGTGTCCTATGGTAAATAAAATACTACGACTCATGGAGTTCCTTGTATATCTTTACAACTGTTTTGATAGTGTCATCTTTGAAGGTATAGAAGTCGTACTGGAGTGGCCCAACAACCTTTTCCTTGAACGCGTGTATATCCTTCTCCAATGCATTAAGGGTATCCTGTATCTTCTTAAGTCCCTTTTCATTAGCCTCAGCTCTCTCAATCAGTTCATTAATTATGTCTTCAAATTCAGTTCCTTCCCAAGCGTTATCCCATTCGTATCCTGACATTCTTCTGTATTTAATAAGATATGTTTAGCTTCCTCAGATATTTCCTCAGGTTCCTCCTTCTTGTTCCACTTATGCGCAACAACATGCTTGGCTGTTGTACAACCACCTGATATTAAACCTATGAATGGAATGTTGGGGGATATCATTCTTGTTAGATAACATACGTCATCCTTTAGAAGTTTATCACTAAGTAGTTCCTCTGACAACTTCTCTGAAGATGCTACTGCACCGAAACTTCCTAATACAGAAGCAAACTTTGAAATTATAAGTGTTGATAAGAAGTCACTTGCACATGACATCCTTTGACTTTCGTACTCGTGGTATAGTCTATCCACAACATCCTTGTTGGACTTTCTTATAAAACTTGCGGACTTCTCTATTACACCATCCCTAGATAGCTCTATAAGCTTGTCTCTTTTACTTTCAGTTTGCGACTTATCTGCGCTGACTTAGTTTTTCTTGCGGTAGACTTAGCTTTCTTTTGCGGTGTCTTTGCGGCCTCTTCTACTTCCCTCACAGCTGCAGATATTTCTTCATCAGATTCGGATCCCATCTTTTATATCCTACGTGATGTTTTGTTTGATAGTGTATGTGTAAGGGTGAATAAGTAGTATATCTAGTGCGGTGAACTTCCTATCTTTTAGTATTTTTGTAATCTCCGCAATTGTCTCCTGAGGGACACCACTTAGGTAATCATCTGTTATCACCTTCATATCCCTACGACTAGGGTTGTAAAATGTAACTAACCTGGAAATGTTCTCCCTGAATGGTTTTGCAATTGATGATAATTGTTGGGTAATTACAATAACTGATAGGTTGTAATGTCTTGCGGAGAATGCTAGGCGCACCAGTTCTGAGACCCTTTTCTTTACATCCTGACCTGCAGCACAATCATCAATGATGATTAGCGTTTGAGTTCCACGAAATATGGTGGACACTGCCTTCAGAACTAGATTGATCATTTCTTGTGAACATGGAATTTGTATGACTCCATGATCACTAATATGAGCCCAATTAATGTAAGTCATATTCCATTCTATTGTTGGACATATAATCACAATATAATCGAAAACTTTATTGTATTCTATTTCTAGCATGTTAAGTAAGAACTGAGTTTTACCACTTCCAGTCATTCCTACTATGAGCATGTTGAATGGTGGTTCAAGTTGCATCTCTATGCTTTACCGTTGGTGCAAGCTAATACCGACTACGTCAGTAGCGGCTACGCAGGCTACGCCTAGTATTGAATACTTGATAGATCTTTATTCGCAAAGTTAAGGAGGGCATCTGATACAACAAAAATGTTGCACTGAACGTCAGCTGTTGTGGCTTGCTTCTTGATTTCCATAAGTACTCCAGACTGCGTGTTGACAATCTTCCTTCCTTCTCCAGTGGTATCATCCTGAGTCGTTCTAAGATCAATTACTAGAGCAAAACCACTACTGAAGAACCTGCTGATAGACATAAATTCATCTGCCATTGATTTCTCACACATAGGACAGAAGAATCGTTTTGCCTCATCAAAGAACCTATTTTTATGAAGTCCTTGGGAAAAAACTGCATTAGGCACACCTTCAATGGTTAGGTTCACTTTATCAATGTTTGGGTAAATATATTCTTCAGAATTGGTTCTCACTCTATTGGTAAATAGAAGGACAATTGCTGACATGCTCTTTCTGGGGATATTTATGTTTTCATTAACAATGGTAAGATCCTTGTCCCAATTACTTGTGCGCATTAGTGTGACATGTTTGTAGGACAGTGATCGACCAGTTGAATACATCCTTGATACTTCACTTGCAAGGGCGTCATTCTCAATGGTCTCGTATTCTAACTCAAGATTGTCCAGTTTATAATTACCCTTAGCTTCACCTCCTTGGGCAGTCATAATCTCATCTGATTGCGGGAGTGTGAGGATGTACATAGGATTGTTATTCATGGAGAACGGTGTGTAGAGTCCATGGTCTGCAATTATTTTATCAATTGGTTTTCTAAGCTTAGAACCGTACACACTATGGAGAAGTCCATCTGCTACTTTATTAGCATCACCAACCTTTACACCTGAGTCGTCGCCTGAGATTAGCTTCCTGAGATTCTCACTTGCAAGACCCTGTTCTGTCATCTTTTTCCTGTCACCTAGTGTTAGCCATAGATCTTTGTATATTTCATACAAACTCTCTCCTGAACAGTCATAAGCTGTTTCACCAGCTACTTTAATCTGAAGACGTTTAGCTATCAACTTAGACAGGTTATTATTAAAGCGACTCTTAGTATTGGAATTATTGAAGTCAAATAATAGTGCAAGTGATCCTGGAACAAGGCAGGAGTCAGGTTTTAGCTTAGGGATGTTAATGTATAGCTCTTCACCTGGGCTGATAGTTGTTGGATTAAATGTTACGACACTTCTAGTTCTTGGTCCTTTTACAGATGTCATGCAGCTCCTCCTGAAGCCAGGTTGGAGTTCTCTTTCTGTGGTATTCATACTTTATACAATATGTAATGTTTAGTTGTATATGTATACTAGAACTGCTGCTGCACATACAATGATTATCCATATATTATCCGCTGCTAACTCTACTCCATCGGCTATCTTCTGGAATACAGGTGGTAGTTCTATTTGATTGTTTACCAACTCACTGATTCGCTCATCGAGCTTTTCTGTTGTGTCACCTACTTTCCACAATATGTTTCTAGTTGATGCTACCAGTCCTATGATTACAGCTGATGAGGAAATTAGAACAGCTGATAAGATGCCTGCATTCTCCCTTGCCCATAACCTGAGCCTTTGTAGTCTCCTACGATCATCCCGTTTAATGAGATCCCTCTTTTTCACCTTATCTCTTAAGTTGAGAAGTTTATTTAGATTTGACTCTCTTTGGTAATCATTTGATAGCATTCTGACGTACCTCAGTTCTTCCGACTTTTCTTTGAAACTATCTTCATCTAAATTTGATGATATTAATTCATTTAAAAGTCTGTCTCCCCTATCCATTAGATCATCGTATGACAGATTAGATAGGTCAGGGAATTTCTCAGCTAATTGCTCTCTCGTAAGGTCCTTGCTTAACATTTTTCTCCTCCTCAGTTCCTGTACATAATTAATTTCCTCGTTAATATCCTGGGTCTCCTCAGTAGTTTCACTTTCCCTAAGATCCTCGTCAAGGTACGGTAATTCGCTATCTAAAGCTTCTATATCCATTTCTTCATAGTTTGGATACTTTTCCTTCAACTCCTCCATTTTCTGGTCATCGTATTCCTCTTGGTGTTCCTCCATAGCTAATTTACTTTGTGTAATAGTTGTACACCATTAAGGCTGCAGCTATAGCTAGTACCCATAAGTGTGACGCTAACCAGGCAATTCCTTTGGCTCCCCATGATAGCGCTGTTGCAACTGCGTTCAGGATTGGAACTAGAATTGGCCCTGCTTTCTTTGCTAAATTTGCTAATGCTTTTGCTACTTTACCAGTGGCTTTTGCTGTATTCACAATGGCTCCCCTAGCATGGATTAATAAGGCTGTAATTAAACTAGCTGTTGACACTGCTATCCCTACAAGTCCCACTTTTTCCTTTCCTACCCAGTCTATAAATCTACGTAATCTAGAAATATCTTCCAACTGTGCCTCTCTTGCTTCCTCTACTACTCTCTGCTCTAGTGTCCTATCTCTAGCTTCCTTCAAACTGTCAATTCTTTCTATAAGGGAATTATACTCAGTTGTACCTTCCGCAGATGTGGCTCGTTCCACGGTTTCACCAATGGCTTCATCAAAGTAGTCAGCCTGGATTTGTAACGCTCCATTGGGACCTGTTCTGCCTTCTATGCTTGATCCATCAGGTGGGTTAAGAACACCTCTCAGTTCATTGTTTTCTTGCATTGTTAGCCCTGGAAGATCTCCTAGTTTTGCGCTTATATCTATTAACTCAATGTTCTCACGGTCAGCGTATTCCTCACTACTTTCATCAAATTGCGGCTCTTCTTTAGTATCCTCATAAATTGATTCATCACTTCCAATTATATTGTCAGGATCCGTAGGTACCTCTTTTATTTTCTTTAGAAGGTCCTTGTATTCTCTCAATGCAGGTGAGTCCTTTGAGTACACGAGTTTGCTGGTCTTACCACGTTTCATTATTTGTGTCCCACTTCTGTCAATACCTTGTTCACTTCTAAATATCAACACCTCTGTGCCATCCTTGAGTGTTCTTACAGATGATCGTTTTATGAGTTCCCTGACATATTTATTCTTTGGGTCTAGTACTAGTCCTTCCTTACCCTTGATAACTCTTGCGACAGCTTGAACACGCTCCACTTGGTTTTCAAAGTCTCTCTTTTTATTTGCTGTAAGCCGGTCTTCTGAGAACTTTTTCAGTTTCTCTAGGCGGGCTTCTATTTCATCCCATTTAGTGTCAAATGATTCGTTGAATGCATCTAGCACATCTGGAAGTACATTGTTTGGGTCTTCCACGAAATTGACTTCTGGGACAGTTGTGCTTCCTGATGGACCTGAAATGTTCACTGTACCATCATTTCCTTCGGTGAAAGTTGTTTCTTCTATTGCACGTCTCTCCATGAGATCCTTTACATAGTCCAGTTCACTTTTAAGATTAGTTAATACTATAGGGTCATCACCATACATAGCCTCTCCCTTCACCCTTGTATCTAACCTACTAAAAGCTGTCGTTAGGTCATCATAATTAAGGTCGTCATATTGAGGATACGTCTTCTCCTCCATCTCGTATTCACCATCATCATCATAGTCCTCCATAATACTTTAACTTATGTTAGGGACTTGATGTCTCCAGCTGGTATCCAACTGTTAAATTTGTCATCATAACCTAACCACTTAATGAGAGCCATCTTTTTACCCTTTAATGTTCTTCTTCTTAGTACTTTTTCTATTCTGAAATCAGGCTCTCTTCCTTCAGCGCTATACAGTTCTTGTTCATAGAATCTACCAATTATTGGTTCATCAGCACTGTCTTTTATTGTATACGTGTTTGGATGACCGTGATACACTTCCGTCACAGTGAACAATTCCTCTGTGAAATTTGCTTCGTACCCTTTTGTGAACACTGATTTGTACTTCGAAATCCTGACACTTTCTCCAACAGCAAACTTTGGTTCTGACGGCTTGCCTAAATTGTGACTAAAAAGTGTCTTCCATACTTCAGTCCAATTGGACTCATTTACACTGTCCGGTGTTGTTTTAATTGATCTGTTCACTGAACTGTTGTAATTATCAGTTAAGTCTTGAAGGACGTCTAACCATTTATATGTACTGGCACTGTAGAAGTACTTCCACATTAGCGCTTTCAGTGTTCTGTTAAACCTTTCCACAACTGCGGCCTTTTTGTCTGAGTAGGTAGAAAAAAACTCAATGTTATGTTTATTGAGCAATGATTTTACTTCTTTGTTGTAGAACTCTGTACCTTGATCAAACTGGGCGAATTTTGGGTATTTACCAAAGTGATTATTAAATTGCTCTAAAACGTTACTGACTGCGTCCTTCATTGATGTCGCGTTTTTCCTATACACTGGTACTGTAAATGCATACCTACTTAGTATTTCGATTGATGTGAGAATCCATCGGTATCCCTTGTTCTTGTCATCATATTTTGTCATGTCAACTAAATCCATTTGTAACTGTTCACCTAAAGTTTGGACGTACGTCTGTCTGAACTTATGTTTTCTAAACACTTGTCTGTACCTCCTCATGTGTCCTGCTCATTTATCCATTTCTTAACCTGGTTTCTGGTTACTTTAAGTCCGTCTGATATTGCTCTAAGATATAGTTTCTCTGGTGTCTGGAATCCAGTCTTAGGATTGTAGTAAATATCTCGTAGTCCCTGTTCTTTCATAATATCATCGTCCATCCTATATTAACCAATGTAAGCTAACTACCGACTACGTTAGTAGACGCTACGCTGCGTAGCTAGTACTCAAGGTACATCTCAAGTAGCACTTCACCTATATCAATAGGTTTCCCGTCTTGATCAGTCGTGTAGAATACAAGTTCTGAGAAAGAACCCTTAATAACTGAAATCCTGCTTTCAACATCAATGTAACCAACAACTGAGCCTAATAATGGTCTGTCAGTTGGAACTGTAACACTTGTTATCACATCGCTGGGTCTTCCCCAAGGGTTAACGTTGTAACTGCTACTAACTAGGTTGCAGTGTATATTTACACATCGTAGACCGTTATTAAAGTCAACTTTGCTATCACTTGTCAAACTCCTCCCTTTTAGTAGGATCATAGGATTATTAAATCTACTAAAACCTAACATAGTCAGTAATCGCGTCTCTATTGTGATATCCTGTTTAACTGCCTCTATTTGGCAGGATGCTGTTTGAGTAAAGTAGGTTAGCTTAACACCATGTCGTTCAAGTAACTTCTTCATACTGTCAAATGTGTAGTAACCTTTATGAATGATCACATCGGATTCTCCATCATCTGTTTTCACCTTGAGAATAGTTGTTGGTTCCCTTATATTGAAGTACTCCCAGAATACTGATACTCTCTTCATAAAGACGGAATTATAATTACTTGTAAGAACTGAATTCTGTAGTGATATAATAGTGTGCGAACTCTGGAGTAAAATTGTGAACTTCATCCTAATAACATACGTTAGGTTATTAAGAATGATACCAGGTGGAGGAGATGTTGGGAAGTCGCCGTACAGATCTTACCAAGATTATGAAAAAAAGTATGGAAAGGAAGATGGTGAAGGTTATGTTGATTCGGTTGCCGGTAAGAAAGCTGAGAACGCTGAGAGGGCTAGGTTTATTAAAAAGTACCCTCACGCAGACATGAAAAGGTTTAAATTCGAAGCAATGACTACTAGTAGTGGTGATATAGGAGTTGTCACTTGGTTTGTCGATTTAGACGGTATATCTTCATATGACACTAGATATGACGGTTTTAAGAAGGATAAGGAATTTACATATTATCTCACAGGTACTAAGAAAATTATTTATTTATTTATTTATTTAGCTTTGCCAACTAGGGCAGGGTCACCACAACAGCATATGCCAATTACTGTGGGCCCTTTTTACCTAACCCACCCTGTCAACTTTCCCTGTGGGAGGAAACCGGAGTACCCGGGGAAAACCCACGGCTTTCGGCAGAGCGTTGACTTTTACTCTTTTCACATGGGGACTGGGTTCGAGTCGCACTGAGAAGGTACTTAGTGAGACTCGAACCTGCAGCCTCAGAGGTGAAAGGCAAGTGCGCTAACCACTTGGCCACCGAAGCCCCATAAATTATTACTCCTGCTCAGTTCATACCTATGACTGATATGAAACAACCTCCACCAAAGGTAGCCAAAAAGTTACCAGGTACAACTACAACTAAGTTAACAGAATATTCCCCCGCAAAGCCGAAAGGATGGCCAAAACTCTGGGATAGTAAAGGTGCTGTTCAGTTGTACGAACCTCTCGTATTACCAAGGGATCCTACCTACGATCAGAGAAAGTTGGGCTTCAGTCGAGTTTTAATTAATGATGATGGTTACTACATTAACACGTACAGACCTCATGTAAGTCTTCCATATAACTTTAACAACTTTAGAATTTATGTAAATGAAAATAGTTATTTTATGTCCGGCTTCCCCAGTGCCGGTGTAGGTTGGGATGAAGGTCCTAATTTAGCTAATAAGGACGTAAGAAAAGTTCCCTTCAATACCATACCATACATTAGAATGCTGTCTGGTGCTTATATAGCTAGCTATCTTAGTGGAGTATCCTTAGAACATATTCGTGAAAGCGATTCCATACCAAAGATAATAACCTCTATTATGAGATACCATCTTTACTACACAATTAGAAAGTTAACGGTTAGTAAAGATGCTATTGATAAGCTTAATGTTAACCTCGACATTGTGAGGAACCATATTCCTATAAAGCAGGAATATATTATTGATGGAAGTGGTTGTACAACTAGTGCGGGACCTCTATCTGATAACGACTTCCTTTCGTTCATAGCGGAAAAAAGTGATGGCTTTACTAAGTTAGGCATTGAGCTCATCCAGGAAAGTATTGAGTCGTATGTGTACGCTATATTAGGATCCCAAGCTAACACAAGGTGGTCAATAGAAGGAAACGGTCCAAAGGCTCTTCAAACGCAACGTAACTTTAGATCTATTGTAAATGCTACTATCTTACAAAGTGATACAGTAATAGCAATTAGTAATATGAGGAAAGCTGTGAGGGATACAAATGTGATTCTAAACACTGCTCTATCTCCTGGAATAGTTCTAATCCCATCAAACTTTATCATTCTGCTAACCCCAATACCTGGCTATAATAACATTCTAACCACGGCAACTAATACAATGGAATTCGGTGTGAATACCAAACTAAACTATGTTGGGGAAAAGAAAACCGACCATTCAAAGAAACAGCACCAAGACACTACACCGGTTCACCACCTTGATGTTATTGATGGACATAAAAAGGTTCCAGGAGGCTCTACGGTCACTAAGCCAAAGGAAGGTTCTACAACTCCTGATACTCAAGATATTCCCATCGTAAAGCATGATACAACTAGTGCTCATGGGTCTTCAGGAGTTAGCGTTGCTGCTGGAGTTGGTATTGGTGCTGTAATTGTATTTATTCTAATGAAAATGGTCTTGTAAACATTATGTATGTTATAAAATGGCTCTCTATAGGGGATACAACAAAGGAGTGAATGAAGTTGATCCATTAAGTGGTAGTGCGTTTGATAAGGATGGATTTACCATGAAGGGTGACATTGAGATGGACGGTAATGAGGTAAAAGGTCTAGGTGCTCCTACAGATGATACGTCTGCGGTCACAAGGAAGTGGGTGGATGATGAGATAGTTAAACAGGCTGCTATTACAATTCAACCTGCAGGGTTTACAATGACTGGGGATATTAACATGGGAGGTAATAAGATAATTAATCTTGATAATCCTACTAACCCAGGTGATGCTGTTAGTAAGAGCTGGGTTGAGGGTAGTCGTGCTAGTTTACCTGGGCTTGTTCTTACTAGTGATCTCAATATGTCAACAAATGAAATAAAGGCTCTAGGTGATCCAACAACTGGAAAGTCTGCTGTTAGTAAGGATTGGACCCTATTACAAATAAGAAACCTGGACTCTTATGTAGCCGGTCTCTACGTCCGGATTGACGGTACGCGTATAATGACTGGTAACCTTAAATTAGGTGGAAATCAAATTGAAAATGTTGGTGATCCAACAACTGGAAAGTCCGCAGTTAATAGTGACTGGGTAGTTAAAATGCTAAATAAACCTATAACAGGACTTAATATTGCTGGTGATATTGATATGAAGGACCATGAGATTAAGAATCTTAAGGATCCCTCTGAGGATCAGTCTGCTGTTACAAAAAAGTGGGTGGTTGATAATAACTTTGTTAAAAAAGGTGGAATAATGCAAGGAGATGTGTCCATGGGAGGCTGGAGATTGTTTGATCTTATTGACCCTAAACTTGATAGCGAGGCTGTACCGAAAAAGTGGGTTGAAGATAAGATGTCTACAATTCCTAGCACCTCTGGTTTTACAATGTTAGGTGATCTTCAAATGGGTGGACATGAAATTAAAAATGTTGGTGATCCTAGTTCGAGTACATCTGCTGTTAGTAAAAGGTGGGTTACATCAGGATTCACTCTAAATGGTGATCTAACCGTTGCAAATGGTAATTCAATCTATACGACCAACAACCTTGGTGCAAAAATAGCTATTCCCAATATTCAAACTGTGGTTAACCAAATTTCACGCTTTGCCTTGAAATTGGACGGTTCAAATGAAATGACTGGTGTTCTCAAGATGGGTGGAAATGAAATTGAAAATATTGGGGCTCCTAGTGCTGATACATCTGCAGTTAATAAAAAGTGGGTGGAAGATAAGATTAGCGGTGGTAGAAGAAAGCGCGAGACCTACAGCGGACTTACATTATCTGATGACCTTGATATGGGAAACAATGAAATTATAAAGTTAGGTGCTCCTACAACTGATGATTCTGCCGTGTCTAAGAAATGGGTCGCGGATCATGTCAGTGGGAGTTCTGTAAGTAGTAGCGGCTTTACTATGAGTGGTAATATTGACATGGCTGGTAATACTATTACAGGACTGAATAGCGGCTCGTCTGGTGATTCTAGTGCTGTTTCTTATGGTTCCATGACTTCCTGGTGCTCACAGTTTCTTAAGCGTGATGGTGGCACTTTAGCTAGTAACTTAGATGTTAACGGTTACGAGTTGACCAGAGTTGGAAATCCTACTACTGACGGTTCAGCTGTTAATAGGAGATGGGCAATAGATGAGTTCATGAGTAGTAGAGGTGGACTGGTAAAAGGTGATTTGGATATGGGAGATTCAAGTGGAATCCTTGATCTAAAGGATCCTGTAAATGATAAGGATGCTGTTAACAAACAGTGGGTAGAAAAGAATTTCCTAAAACCTTCCACAGGACTCACAGAAGCAGTGGCCGATAAGAGATACGTAAGAATAAACCGTCACATTCACGCAGAGTGGATCTGGGGTTATCGTGGAGTATCAGTTGCAGCAACAAGGTACTATGCTTACTGTCACGACCAAATTCCACCTTCATGGAGAACAGATCCTATTAATAATATGGCAGACCTCAACCTTGAGTCAATAACTATTAAAACAGATTTCCCAACTCTTTCGACTGTTCTAAATATACCACTAGCTCTAATCCTGTGGGCTACTGTATGGGAAAAACAATCTAACGGAAAATTTACTCAGGTTAAGAAGGAAATCACTCTCGCCACGGTTGACTTAAGAAGACTGTCACACACTTGGTTTAATGGAACTTACACAACTACCGGTGGAAGTACAGCTTGCTACGTTTTCAAGGGTAATAGTATGTTCTATTTAGGAGCCCAGGCTGAGCTGGTAAATAATACGCTGGCCTGGTGTATTATAGTTAAACCTGAACACTCAATGCCAACAGGTTCCAGTATGGACATGTCCTTTTGCTGGTCACTCCGATATTCGGGGTCAGGTAGTTAACATGCGGTTTATCATAAGATAAGATGTCAAGGTGGAGGTCATGCTTCTCCTGCTTAGGTAAGATTTGTGGTTGTCGTAAGAGTTCTAGTAGAACTGGGAAGTCTGGTGACATAAATTTCTCTGTATCAAATAATATTAACATTGGAGTGAGCACACAAAATAAAAAGGATGACTTAGATAGTAAACCTAAACCAGAAAGTTACGGCCCCTTAAGAATGCTTAAGAGTGAACCGGAGACTGTAGAAAAAATAATTGAATGAAGGATTTGAAGATTTGATGAAAGTTAACTAATGAAGTAGCGTAGAATATGAGAAATCCTAGATTCTTGTTAAATGGTCTAGAACATTTGATGAGAATCTGAAGATTAGCGCGAGATAAAAGCGAAAACTAAAAAAGTGATGTAAGAGACCAAGTCAAAAAGTGGTCTAGAACCGCTACTTCCTATACTACTGTCGTCAGTGGTTTCTTTACTTTCAGAATCCTGGCCAGAGATATCATCCATAATGTGTAAACCATGTTTTTAATTTTCATGATTTACCCTGCATTTGGAGCACTTGAAAGTCCTGGAACATCCTGAAGCTCTACATGGATGGGTATCTTGGACCGACAAAGCTTCAACAGATTTTTTTGCCTTGGTTACGCCGGATAGGGTGCCTGAAACATAGGTGTCAAATATTTCAGATATTTGATTGTGAAGCCACATTCTCTTCTCCACATTATTTGCCTTTTGCCTACCAGAAGGCATCAGATTTTTCTTTGGAGTATCTTTCATATTAGCCATGCCAAAATGATGAAGTGTTGCAGATACAAGGAAAGCGTCTGTTTCAGAAGCCATAAACTCTCGTATCTGCTCATAGTGCTCTGATTCTACTTCCTTAGTTGCATTATAATTCCCAGTCAGGATGGCATTTGATGTATATGTGCCCCAGTCTGGTAGAGAATTTTCCTTCCTCAGTATAGAGACTACTGCCTAAAAATGATTTATCAAAATAATTGGTTAATGTTTTGTATATGGACAAGTTGTTTTATATAGTTATGTTACTTAATATATGTACTGTTGACTTTGGTGGCGCAGTCATCATAATTATATTCTTCCCTTGGGCCTGCACGCGGGCTAGTGCCTATCACCTCTGAGAACGTGGTTTGATTCTCGCTACGGATTCATACAGTTAAAACAGTCAGTCCATGCTATGCCAAAAGTCATGGGTTTTTTCTGGGTGTTCCAGTTTCCTCCTACAGGGAAAGTTGACAGGGTGCCGGTAGCATGCATAAACACAGTTAAGAAAGTAATATCACAATTGTCGTAAATATAAAATTATCTAGGCTTTAAAAGCATGTAATTATGTATTAGCGTATATAAGACTTGATGTAAAGCATGTTTGATCATATCCACATGGGTCATTAATTAATGCACAATAATGAATGCATCTAAATTACCAACAATGAACATACAAACAATTTTCATGATACAATCTAGTTGTTTTAATTAACTGAGAAAATTGAAGCAAAAAGTTCCATATATAAATATATATTTAGAAATTAAGGGTCTAATTTCACCAAGAAAACCAAAGTGTTTTAGAGGTGATAATTAAAACAAGTTTGTGAGTGTTTTAAATAGCCTCAAAACAAACATTTAGTTCATTGGTGTTATTTATATAACCCACTGAGTGGCAGCACTATCCACTTGACGAGTAAAATCATCTGGCATTAGACAGAGTAAAATACTAAAGTATGTTGCACCAGGGGGCATTGACACTTAATTAAAGGGTTAAATATATAAAAAACATTGCCACAGTATTGATTTCCTTTGTGTCTTCCTTATGAATTATTAATACGTTTTTGAAGTTTATTAATAATAGGGAAATGCAGATGGATATGGATTCAACTGCCTGAAAAATACAAGTAAAACTTTGACATTTCAAGCACTTCACTTCAATGGGAAGTTAATAAGACTATAATATAATATAATATAAATACATGATTTGTTAATAAAATAAAAAATTCAGACCTTATAAGCAGTTCTAATGGCATGCCAGTCCTCATTCTTCGGGTAAACTGCTTCAAGCCTCTCTTTCTTATTTTGACCATCTGCTCTGGCTCTTTGTATATTCCGTGCACGCTCCTCTGTCAATTGATCTCCACCAAAGAAGATAGTATCTGCTGATGTCACATTTTCCCCATTCTCATTTTGTACTGTTATAAAAGGGACATATTTCTCCTGTATTGTTTCCAGGATATCAACCATATCCTCATTCTTACTTTCATTTTTTGGAAGAACTCCCAGTGGAATCTACAATAATTGATTTATACATTAACATAGTACATTAGAGACATGTCTTTTTCAGGGGAAAAACTGTTCAGAATTTCTATCCTTTGATCCATCCTTAACATGTAGCTCAGTTGTTAGAGCTTTGATATAATTTGTCATGCAGGTTTGAAACCCAGCCGAAGCGGACAAAATTTCCTTCTTGCGCGGTCTGGAAATTATATGGAACATATATATATGTGTGTGTGTGTTTCGGTGTTATACGCCTCATCAGTGCAGCTTGGTACAAGTAAAGTAAACAATGTTATGGCTGCTTAAAGGAAGGGTATAATTACACTATGAATATGTAATACAACTGATCGACACAGTACATAATGTCCATTGACCCATGCAGTACTAAATGTATTTTTTAGAGCCAAATGAATATAACAATTTAATTGGTCTGGTATACCAATAATATTATATAAGGGTCAAAATTCATCTCTTACATTTCATTCTCTATGCCCACTAACATATAGCTGTATAAACATACACAGCTATTGCATTTTTTCAAGACACTCTATGTTATCAATTACCTCTTTTACAGGATTAACCATCACATCACTGTACTGGTGTGGGATGTGGTAGATCACACATTTCTTGAAACAATAAAAATACTCAATGTGTTTAACAACAACACGAGACCATAGGACTACAAAATCCCTCTTAAGGCTGTCCAGATCTTTATGCGATGGAAGAAATGAAGATATTGGAATACTTTCTAGGGTCTTTTCATGTATATCAGGAAGTGCATCTCCACTCACTTGATCTTTAAAGGCATCCAAATTGAAATAGTGCAAAGATTTATTCTTGTTATCATCAGACATGTGGCGAACTTTCACTTCCAAGTCAACATTATCTCCAACAATCTGATACGACAAATGGGAATTCAATTCCTTACTGCATGCACGCACTGCTTCAAGCAGATCAGGACTGTCAGGTGACTGTTTTGTTATGTCTTTGAAACATTCATAAACACAAGTGTCATCAATGTCTTTGCATTTTAGTTCTGAACAGATATTGTGTAATAGTTTGGTTGAGCTAGTGTTACTATAACACAAGTTCAGTTTTCCAACATCAAGGGTTTGAAATTCATCATTGATGCTTTCAGTTGAACTACTCATAGATGGATTCACAGTTGCTACCAATCTTTCATGGTCTTCCTTGCCAAGATACTGTTGTATGTCTGATACATTTGGCATGTTGGGATGGTAACTTAGTTCTTTCAACCTACTCTCCAGTAGATTTAAACATTTTTCTTTCTGTAACCACATTACAGACTCTCCTTTCCACAGACAAATTGCATTGTCGCATCTTTTACCAAGCTCTTTTGTTTTCAATGACAGCGTCTTCTGACATACTGTTAGACCATGTTTGTGGAGTGCTTCTAGTCCCTACAATAACCAGAAATAACTTATTTTGGTGTTCAACCCACTCTGGCTTGAGACAGCACTCATATTTTATTATTGGCAATTATGCGATGGGAGCAACTGATCCATTAACTGCCACAATCCATTTGCCTTCATCATGAAACAGCCTGAGTACTGTTAGTAACCCTTTAAGTGGCAATGCACCCTACATTATTATTTTACTCTGTCTAAAGTAATGCCAGATTATTTCACTCTGCCTAATGCCAGACAATTTTACTCGTCAGAGGGAGAGTGCTGCCAATCAATGGGGTAATTATCCATTAAGGCACATGGGTATCCTTTTGATACAGTAAGTGAACTTGTCTGTTGTTATAGTCAGAATAAAGTAGTTTGCACAAGGGTGTACTGCACCATATAGGGTTAACAAGAGAAATTGGTCGATTAATTAATTAAGGTGCAAGGTCTTCAGTTGACACGTTGGGGTAGAATAGCAAAGTAAGCTACTGTACTACAGCTGGGCATTAGAGCTACAGTATAGTATATATTCCAACTACAGTATATTACCTTTTAATTCATGCATGCAGATATTGTGCAAAAACATAATATTTTTACTTTAATGCCAGATGATCTGGCAAAAGGAGAATATTGAGACAATTCCTTCATAAGAGGGTTAATAATTTTAAAACTCTACTAACATGTTTGAATACATACCATTGTTCCTGCACCAGCATGTCGCATTACAAACCCAAGTCTATAAGCCAAAGCAGACATCTGAGGGCATCTTGAGTAGAGGATAATTGCCCCAACAGTTGATATAACATTGGAATTGCAGGTTGCTTTTCTAGACCTCTTTGAGTGACAGACTGATGTAAGTGTCTTTGTAGTCAATGGTGCCTTGCACTTAAACTCTTCTTCGAATTTATTTAGCTGAAAACTTGTAAGCCCATCAACTCCAGTATCTTTAAGGACACTATGAGAACTTTTCTTACACATTTCATGACACTCATTGTCCATGATTTTCAAGAACAGGTCTTCTACAATCTTTCTCCTTTCTTGATTTTGTAGAGCAAGTTTAAATGCTGTTGGATAAATTCCAAGGGCCAAATTTATGACAACAGATGCAATGTTATCATCATCCAAATTGATTGTTCTATTGCCTGAAGGATATTTAATGCTGACCTATAATATATAAATATAATACAATTTAATTGAAGAATTTAACAAATGCATGGCGATTCGGATAGGTATTCGTCAGAGGGTATTCGTTAATGAACACCAAAAATGTTGATTGAAATTGACATTATTCATTACGCATTATCTTAGCGAGCCAATGCTTATTTGTTTTGTATCTTAGTTTTTGTCTTCGTTATATTATTAACCACGGCCCAAGGCCAAGACATCGAAACCATCTAATTTAAGTTTTCGGTCGAAGTTGTGCACTTTATTTGACTATTAAAAAAGCGCAATAGTATCACTTGACAATTATAAACATGCACAGCTAAATTGTTTTGAATAGAAATTTTCAATTTATAATTATAGTTTAAATTTAGCAATTTAAAAATAAACATGCGGTGTTTAAAATGATGATTCCAGGTATAGTCGTATAGACTACGTTTTGATCCATACAAGAAGGATAAAATCTATCACTTATATTTATAGCTTGAAAGAACATTTTTAAATTAGTAAAATTGCCAAATTTGGTTGCAAAATGTAGAATACAAAACATATAAGTTATAACCATGTGAAATTAGCAAATGTTGAGTATTTTAGTATTACTCACAGAAAAATGCACCAATTTGATGCTAATTTCACAGACACAGAGCTATATTTTTCGTATTTTACAACAGTTCACAACCAAACTTTGCAATTTTACTAATTTTAGGATGCTCTTTTGAGCTATAATGATAGATTTCGTCTTTCTTGTCCAGACAAAAAATTAGTCAATAGCTGGAATCATCCATTTAATACAGTGACTGTATATTCTTCTGCATCACTGCATGTATCAATTACACATATAAATAACAATCAGTTTATTTCCACTTTTATATGCAAAGCTTTAAAGGATTATACCGAGACAAAAACAATATCTTACCTCGACAGAACGTGTATTTACTTCATTTTCAGTCGACACTATTTGGTCGCACGAACGGTCATTTACATCTTCATTTACATATAGTGGCGTGAAATTAGAATTAAAATCATTTTCAGCTGGAGATTCGAACAACGGTCCTCTAGCTCGCTTTTTCGCACGATGAGGACTTGACTTAGCACATCTTTTGATGACTTGTGTATAAACTTGCACTTTTGGTGATGTACATTCCGGCGTTTGCGAAGACAAAGGCAAAGCATACAAGTTGCATTTAGTTCGCAATTCTTTTATGTCTGCTTCAAGAACTAAAGATCGCTTAGTTAGGGAGTCAATTTTGCGAAAACAGGACTTGCAAAAACCAAGACGAATTTTCGTCAATGTTTATCTGACATTCCAACGACTTTTCCAGTTTCTCTAGAACCCCGTCGCACGTTGTTAAATTATATGTGCACCGTATACCAACTAGTATAGTCCCACAACATAAACATACATAATCTTTATCAGCCATTCGGTGTCTCTTTCCTTTTTTGATAGGAGTACATTTTGAAAAGTTTTCTTTATTCATTGTTAGAGTTCAGCGTAAACGTCCCGCGTAAATAACGAAACGCGGGAGCGATATGTTGAAGAGCAACGGCTGCGCATGCTCCACGGTTGCGCATGCTCAAATGGAATAGTACACAATTTCGGCAGAGTATCCTTTCTCTCCGCCGTGAAAAGGATACTCTGCTAGCAGGGTAAATATCAGTCTGATTTTCATCAAATTTTCACCAAATGTTCTCCAGCGCATGCAAAATATGGTAAAGTTAACAAACAATAAAATAATGTAAGAATTATTCAGGAAAATCGTAAATCGCGGTACCTTTACGCTTTTGAGTTGTGCTCCTGCTGGTTTTAAGTTATATTTATGAAAATATCATTTTTATACAGTAAAATAGTTGTTCTAAAAAATTGTGTTCGGACATTTTTGTTTATTTCGTCATTCCGCTGATATGGCGATTTCTTTGACGACTGCAATATATTTCTGATTGTTTGAGTGAATTGCTCTTTATTTTTAAATTATCCAAAATTAAAAAAAAGCCGAACACAATTTTGAAACTGACGCATTTAGCTATGTCCTGTGAAAATTTGAGAAAAATTGGATAAAACCCGAAAGAGCATAACTCGTTTGAAAATCAGTAATTACCGTAAAATTTTTAGTGAGAAAATGGAATTTGAATATTACCTTTTCAATGTTTTTCTTACTGCAGCGAAATGTATTTTATTAAATAACTCTGCGAGTTTTCAACATTTTTCGTTCATACTTGGTCAGATAGTAGAACTAGTCTAATGCTTTCATTGAAACCAATAAAAAATTTTAGGCAAAATTAACACTCAAAGATGTTCTGTAACCTTAACTAGACACATGGGCAGATAGGCTAGTTAACATATTAAGCGCCAGCGCCCTCCCTTAATGAGTAAAATTGTCTGGCGTTAGGCAGAGTAAAATAATATATTAGGCCGCATTAGGGCACAGTGCGACTCAATGGGTTAACTATAAACATGGGCAGATAGGCTAGTTAACACATTAAGCTCCAGCGCTCTCCCCTTGATGAGTAAAATTGCCTAGTGTTAGACAGAGTAAAATAATAAATACTTAGTGTGCATCAGGGCACAATGCGACTCAATGGGTTATTAACATCAACAATGTTTCAAATGTCAAATCTGCCATGCTCAATATAATCATAGATTCAACTATTAATTTGACATGTAAGTCAGATGTCCTGTATACAACAACAACATCAAATAATCAATCGGCCACAAAATTGTCAATCGTGTATTATTCTCGGCCTAAAAGCTAAACCTATTAATCCTAGATTGGTGTTTACTTTGGCTTTTGCTGCTACTGAAACGACTTTTATATAATTATGTGATTACAGCCTGGATTTACAGTGGGTTCTGCATAAGATTTTATCTGGATAACTGGATTCGATGTTTCACTATTTAGTATCGAGTAAAATCAACAAATAATTATGGATCAAACGAGGATGAGAGTATTTTAATTAAGTTGAAACATAGTTGGAACACTCATCAAAGCTTTAATAGTATTTTGTTAATCTGGAACTTGAAATGTCATTTGTGTATTTATAAGCAATTCACGCATGACTTTCATCCTCATTTGACCGAGGCTATAACCTAAAATACCAGTTTAAAAACTTACATTATCAAATGAACCAGTGTTGCCAGTATGCCTGATTCAGGAGATGATTCTTGATTGGGCAAAGTTAAACTAGACTGCGCTACTAGCAAGTGATATGTCGCAGGATTCGAATAGTGAACTGGATATTTCAATGTTGTGCGCACTTTTTTCATCGTCGCTGTTACTTTCAACTAGAACCTATACATATACAAAAAATAAATAATATTACATTAAAACGTGTTTCGTATCGTAAACGTGAAGCTATAAGAACATATTTTGAATAATTGATGTCCGCTGTCGTGATTTGACCATCAGCAAACAACAGTCGTCGACACGAAAGTGATGAAAGTAAATATAAACATTTGCCATTAGGCTAGTACAGCACGAGACGTTTCTTGAACGTATTTTCCTAATAAATTGTTTGTTTGTCTAAAACGAACGAAGTTTTACGCTTGTATTTTATCCGTATCCCTCATCGAAGCAAATCCCAACGGCCAACGTTCGATAATGGCGCCAAAAGTTAGTACGCATGTTCCAGGATGATCGCAAACCCAATTGCTTACGGGCGCGTGCATTCTCGTTTCAGTTCCCGCGATCATTAATATGATTACACATTCAATTCCCGTGATTAGTTGTTACAAATACCGTATTTATATTTACGATAAATTTACTAAAAATCTGGAAAACAAATTTCAATACCCTTCAAAATGAAACATCAAACCTCACCTTGTATAATCAAAAAAACGTCCTCTTCTTTTTCTTTGCGAGCATGTGCATTCTTTTAGTTTTATGCGGAAGTTAATTTGATACGATCATACGACGGACGATCGACACAATTAAGAGTCGATTTGACAGAAGGGTCGATTGGACAGAATTAAGACTGTCAATTTTGCGGAAGGGTCGATTTGACACAATATTAATAGTCGATTTGACACAATTAAGAGTCGACTTGACAGAAGAGTAGATTTGACACATTTATGAGTCGATTTGACAGGAGGGTTGATTTGACACATTTAAGAGTCGATTTGACAAAAGGGTCGATTTGACACAATTATAAGAGTCGATTTGACAGAAGGGTCGATTTGACACATTTAAGAGTCGATTTGACAGAAGGGTCGATTTGACACAATTAAGAGTCGATTTGACATTCTGCACAGTTTGTAGTTTGGCAATATTTTTCTTAGACAAATTTTCCAACACAGATAAACAATAATAAAGTTTGCTGAAGACCAAGGCGTTTATGTTAATAAGGAACGGTTTACAATCTCGGTTAGGGTTGGAAGAATTATAGGTAGAGCTTCCTTTATAACAGAGACAGAGACTTTGTCCATCCTGGTGCCTTATATGATGGAAATGAATTCACGATCTTACGTATTTCATAGGATGATACAGGGCGGAAGTAAAACTCGTCAGTGTTGTTATTTAATATAAGATTGTTAGGTTGAACTAACGGAAGATTATTTGCAATGACTATCTTCTTTGACTCTTCTGCGGCTTTAACCCGAACTGATGTATAAAAGATGTTAAATTCGTCAGCCAGTTCTTTCATGTGATACCTCGTTGCGAGGCACACATCTCCTAATAACTTTCCACATTGCATTAGGTTCTTTATTTTTGTAAATTTCATTTTGAATATACCATTTTTCTGTCACTCGCAATGTTTTCTTTACTTCATTACGAGCCACGCGAAAACTGTCCCAGTAACAGATATTGTTGGTCTGCCGCGCTAGTCTGTGCAAACGATCCCTTTTCTTCATCAGCTCTTTTATTTCATCATTCACGAACGGAGAGTGGCGATATCTGACTTTTATGGTTTTAACTGGAGCATGTCTATCCAAAATTCTGAGGAAATTACGGTTAAAAGTGATTTAATTGTCCATCTACGAAATCAATCATTGAAATATTCTCCCATTGCTCTTGCGCTATATCTTCCAAAAACAAGTTCCGATCGTAGTGCTTATAGCTTCTGACGTTTATAAGTGCAGGTTGGAGTTTTCGAAGTTTTATTTTTAGCACGGTAAAAATCAAGTAATGATCGTTTATATGATTTTCCATTACTCTACTAGACCAGTATTAGTTGTCATGTTGACATCTATAAGAGTTGATGATTGTGGTGTTACTGTTGTTGGACTAGTAATTAGTTGTGTTGGATTTAACTAAACTAGAGCACCAACTAGTAAGTACTCTCGACTCTTGACTGTTTTTCAAGATATCACAGTTGAGATCGCCAATGATAAATACTTCCTTCCCATAAGTAAGAGCATGGATTGTAAAATAACTGGATAGGAAACTTCCTGACGTCACAGTCTAAATCTAGTTGCAATCTGCATGTTCTCAGCATTTTTGTTGTCTCGCTATATTTTCCGCTTTAAAAGAGTAATATTGAAGCATAAACTGGTCTAATTGTTTCAAAAATATGCCTAAGCCACTACAATGTATTCAAGGTAAATGTTTTACGTCTTTGTTTTGTATTTTTTTACATTTGTAGCTACAAAATTGGCGTCGACAATTTTAACGAAATTTGCGATGCATTTTACACTGTTTATATAGTGCTTGAAATATTCGCTAAATTTGACTAGGAATACTTAGAGATTTCATCGTAGAATGGCGTAGTTATATTTATTTGCTCTTTGACTAAAATGTTTAGCTGTATTATTGCTAAACATGCCGTTTTTGAGAATTTGGTTTGCAACTAGGTTTCAACATCCAATCACGCCATCAGCCCATTGAAAATATTAGGTCACGTCAGCTAGTTTCCTATCCATTTATTTTATTATCCATGGTAAGAGCTAGAGTGTGCAACTCCAAAAATTCATCTGCAAAACATGTCACGGAACAATCAGGAGGACGGTAAGTAATACACAATAAGATAGATTTCAGATCCCCCCCAGCCCCTCCTGTTCCGCGGTCCCTGAATTTAACCAACTTTCTGACACTGCAAAAACATCGTAGTCATTTTCTTTAACTAAACAACGTAATTGTAGAAGATGTTCATGTTTCTTTAGCGATCGAATATTCAAATGGGCGATTTTAATTTTCGACTTATAAAAAAACTTCGACAGTTGATTGTTACTAATGCTACCTCGGTTAATATTATTGGCCTGGGTGGAAACGTCAGCATGAGTTCTCTGCAACACTGATATCAAATTATTTCTATTACTCCCGCTTTGCTTTGGTCTAGACATGCTATTACGGAATGAAGAGATTCTAACTGGTATTCTAGCCATTACACAAATTTTGAGTATTTCCCGTGATGGGTAGTGTTAATTTTAATTTCACGTTCAGTGGAATTTCTGAAATTTATTGGTTGCCAAGGTCTACATTTGACAAACTTTGGCCTGAAACTGTCAAATTGAACTAGCAACCCCACTGATGGAATATGGACTTTCGCAGAGCGTATCCCCCTACGTTGACCTCGAAACAGGAAATTATGGGTCTGTGTTATATTACGTTGCTCTTTAGATAAGACAGGATCTGAAACTCTTCTTGCACACTCTCGTGTATTCCAGAAAGAAAAAAATTCTTTATTCTTTTTCGCCTTCGGTCGACCCCAATAAAGCTATCAGCGTCAGTGCTCCTTTGTAGCAGATGATTTTGCAAAATATTTTCAGGTTTATCAACCGTGCTGTGCTTTTCATTAGTTTTACAAGTTTTTGGAAGGTTTTTTGCCACTTTAGCATAGTGTTCTGCCAGATTAAGCGAGATCGTGTCGAAAAAACCGCCACAGAAAAGTAAAAAAAAACTTCGTACAAACACGCTTTATTTACTAAAAATCACCCCAAATCGCATTAAAATTGTCCTTTTATACACACTGTCAATTTACATAACCTAATTAGTTTTCACGCCTATATCGTTTTATTGTTCTATTTACAAATTTACATAGTAACACACAATACACACATAACACACATAATAGTCATATGTCCCAATTGTTCTCTGACCGGCACTACATTGCCCTCTCCCCAGTTCATCGGTCTCCGTTGAACAATTTCAACCCAAAATCTTACGGTGTATATCTTTGTGGTTGTTTCCTAGTTCGTATACCGCGACGCAACGATTCAACTGTGGTCCTACTGTTTGTGTTTTTACCATTACTCTTTTTCTTTGATGTTGTCCTCACCCCAGGTAAAGTCGACTTGCCGATATCTAAGTTCCTCGAAGTTCCGGAACCAGTGCTTCCTTTCTCTGCGAACCAACCAAAATACTCTCCACCTGTGTAAGGTTTCAGTCGATTGATGTGCACGACTTTGGGCTTTGCCTGGCGCCCCTTCTTTATTCGAACGACAACGTCATTTATTTGCTTCACCACAACGTAAGGGCCCTCCCAATTTCTGCTCAACTTTGGTGATCTTCCCTTTTTCCGTTTTGGGTTATGAAGCCAAACACCCGTGCCAACTTCGTATTTCACTGCCATAGCCTTCACGTCATAATGTTGCTTCATCGCACCAGAACTGATTTTTAAGTTATCTCTTGCAAACATATGCACTTCGTCCATCTTTTCTTGTAACTTCTGCTCGTACATCGGGCTGCTTCGTGGCATCTCACCACCTTCCGGTCGTCCTGCCCAAACATCAATAGGCAATTTCATCTCTCTACCAAGCATCGTCCGGGATGGACTAATCTTCGTTGCTACGTGTTCTGCACTACGATATGCCATTAACAACAGAGGAATATGCATGTCCCAGTCGGTTTGATGAGCATTCACAAACATCGCCAATCCATCTTCTATTGTCTTGTTAAAACGTTCCACCATTCCGTCCGACTGAGGATGGTAAGGAGTTGTTCTCGTTTTACTAATTCCAAGTAACCGACAAACTTCTCGAAAAGTTTCAGATTCGAAATTCCTCCCTTGATCAGAATGTAACTCCATAGGGATCCCAAGCCGAGTGAAGAACTGGTTGACCAACACTTCTGCGACTGTAACTGCTTGTTGATCTGGAAGAGCAAAGGCTTCCGGCCACTTCGTGAAGTAATCTTGAGCAATGAGTATATATTGGTTTCCCGAATCTGTTTTTGGAAGCGGTCCCAACACGTCGATAGCTATCCTCTCCATCGGCGAACCAACGGTGTACAATTTCAACGGAGCATTGGCTCTTCTAGGATATCCTTTACGCGACGCACATTTCTCACATTTTCTGCACCAGTTCTCCACTGACCATCTTAGGTTTATCCAATAGAGACGTTTTCGAACGCGAGCTAACGTTTTCTTCACGCCGAAGTGTCCCGCAGTTGGAGAGTCATGTAGATTTCGCAAAACATCATCTTGAATCGCCTTTGATGTTAAATAGAGATACTTCACTTCACGTCCACTTGCATCCTCCCAACGTCGATAAAGGATTCCATCCACCACATCAATTGATGCCCACTGCGCCCAATATGATTTTGTAACTGGACTCATAGCCGAAATGTCTTTCCATTCTGGTCTTCCGTTAATCTTCCATTCCATCACATGTCTAATATCTGGATCTTCCACTTGCTTCGTCCTGAGCTCTTCCTTTGTCCAAATTTGAAACAACAGTTCGTCTTGGTTTATGGTCGCCCCTCTTGAAATTCCATTTCCGCGCATATCCCTTTCTTCTTCCTCACTTATCGCTTCGTTTTCATTATCTTTATCTTCTAAAGCCGAACAGAACTTGCATGCTGACTCATAACATGGTCGTCGTGACAAAGCATCTGCATTGACATGACTTCTTCCTGCACGATGCACGATCTCAAAGTCATATTCTTGTAACTTCTGCAACCAACGAGCAATCTGTCCTTCTGGCTGCTTTAAATTGAACAACCACTTTAATGAAGCATGATCAGTTCTCACCACGAATCGTTGACCATAGAGATAATAATGAAACTTTTCTGTTGCTTTGACCACTGCCAGTAACTCTTTTCGCGTCACACAGTAATTTCGTTCTCTTCTGCTCAGACTTCGACTAAAGTACGCGACAACTCTTTCTATTCCGTTTTGTTCTTGAGATAAGACAGCGACAATTCCTCTCTCGCTCGTATCCGTGTCTATCGTAAATCTCCCTGACGCAATTGGGTAGGCCAACACTGGGGCTTCCGTTAAAAGACGCTTCAATTCTCCAAACGCTTCCTCACATTGTTCAGACCAATCAAACACAGTTTCTTTCTCGGTGAGTTTATGCAATGGGCTTGCAATGTCGGCAAATGACTTTGTGAACTTGCGATAGTACGAGCAAAGTCCTAGAAATCCTCTTAAATCTCCTTTGTTCGTAGGTCTTTGCCACATAGTCACAGCTTCAACTTTGCTTGGTTCCGTTGAAATTCCTTCTTGGGTCACAATATGTCCCAGATAGAGCACTTTCTGTCTGAATAGCTCGCACTTCTTCGGATTCAGTTTGAGGTTGGCTGCTCGAAAACGACCAAAGACTTCGCGTAGATTAAGTATCTCTTCTTCGAACGTCTTTCCATGTACCAAGATGTCGTCTAAGTATAGAAGACACACGCTCCAAGGCAGACCAGCCAAAACTAACTCCATCAACCTTTCGAATGTAGCGGGGGCGTTGCATAACCCAAATGGCATAACGGTGAACTGCCACAACCCGTAGCCTGTCGAGAACGCCGTTTTTTCTCTGTCACATTGTTCCAAGTCCACCTGCCAATAACCACTCTTCATGTCCAGAGTTGAAAACCACTTCGAGCCAGCTAACGCGTCAAGTGTCGTATCGATTCGAGGGAGCGGGTAGGAATCTTTCTTCGTCACATCATTCAACTTTCTGTAATCAACGCAGAACCTGTTTGTGCCGTCCTTCTTCTTCACCAAGACAATAGACGCTGTCCAGGGGCTGCTTGAAGGTTCGATAATTCCTTGCTCATGCATTCCTTTAATCGCCTCTTGTGCAATGTCCACCTTCGCCAGTGCTAGACGCCGCGGTTGTTGTTTGATCGGTTTTTGGTTACCAGTGTCAATCTTGTGTGAAGTTAAAGATGTTCTCCCCATGTCACCTGAACCTTCTGAAAACACATCTTTAAATTCCACCAGCAACGAATACAACTGACTCTTTTGCGAATCGTCCAAACCTCCGGAACTACGGTCATAAAGCTTCTTTACCACTTCAGGTAACTCATCACTCGCTTCACGACTTCCAGGCTCAGTATTCCCCACCACGGTCACACTGTCGATGATTTCACAACTAGCAACATCTGTACCTTCACGGACTATTCGTTCATCATCCGACATGTTTAACACTCTTACAGCAAATAAGGGCTTACCAATATCTACAACCGTCCTTGCTACGAGAATATCACTGGACAATCCTGGTTCCTTGCTAGGGTTGATTTCTCCCAACCTTCTTCAGGACTACCATCACCGTCCAGCATTCCTGGAATTATCGCTTCGCTCTTCGGTGGAACCAACCATGTTTCAGCAACCATCACTCTGCGACAAACTGATTTCTTTGTGGCTGTCATCCCCTTGAATCGAATTTCTTCCGGGCCAATACGCAAACAGGATTCTTGTACATCAACAACACAGTCATTCGAAATCAGAAAGTCTAGTCCCAAAATACACTCGTTCTCGACATCTGCAATCCATACATCATGTACGACTTTCAAATTTCCAACCTGAAAAGCGAGCTTACCACGACTTTGTACTGGTGTTGTTTCACCGGTTACTGTCTGTAATAAACTGTCTACTGGCTGTACATCAATGTCTACGTCTTTCGAAACTCGCCCCAATACGTCCGGTCTCAAAATTGTAATGTTAGATCCCGTATCTATCACCATGTCACAATTCACACCAGATTAAGCGAGATCGTGTCGAAAAAATCGCCACAGAAAAGTAAAACAAAACTTCGTACAAACACGCTTTATTTACTAAAAATCACCCCAAATCGCATTAAAATTGTCCTTTTATACACACTGTCAATTTACATAACCTAATTAGTTTTCACGCCTATATAGTTTTATTGTTCTATTTACAAATTTACATAGTAACACACAATACACACACAACACACATAATAGTCATTTGTCCCAATTGTTCTCTGACCGGCACTACAATAGGATTCTTGATGCACCACAGCTTTAGGTTTTTCAATAACATTACTGTTAACATACGTATTGTTCACCTACAAAACAATCAGCAGCTCTGTCAATGAGAGTCTCGTCGGTCATGCTTGATGTAGCCTCAGTAGAATCATCCAGTTGACTAATGTTTTCTGCCTCATTGTTTCCCATGGGATTTGTTAATTGATCTGACACAACAGAGTCGTTACCATCAATTTCAATAGGATGTTGCAATTGAGCAATAACGTGATTTTTATTTTCACTTTCCCATTATGGCTAATCGACCTTGTCGAAGCTCTCTCTCTCTAAAGCGTGTTTTATTCTTTCCCATATAATTTTGAAATTCCGAAATAACACAATCTATATGCAGAACAGAATCCGACAATGATCGAATTGCCTCCACATTCACCAACTGATGTGGGAGCGCGTGTATAATGCGTGTAGCACCACACGAACAAATTAAAGGAGCAAACTTTTCAGGGCATAGCCGCATTTACAATAAAATTACAATTAAACATTTACAATAAAAATACAATTTACAATATAACAATATTACAATAAAAATACAATATAAACATAATTGTAGTTTTATTCTAAAATATGAACAAAACATGAAAATGTCTATCGAGGATACAACTGTACTGCTGATTACAAACGAAAAATTCCCTAAAAATATTGACTTTAAATTACAAAAAATATAAATTTCCTAAATAAATATATATATATATATATATATATATATATATATATATATATATATATATATATATATATATATATATATATATATATATTATTTAAATAAATATATATTATTTTAAAAATTACTTCGCTTATGTACTCATCAGAAGATGGATCGTTTTTTAAGCCAGTTAAAGCACTTGTAGTCGTGTTTTATCATATATATATATATACATATATATATATATATATATATATATATATATATATATATATATATATATATATATATATATATATATATATATATATATAAAATAAGTGCAACGACTCAACACATTCCACTAGGCATCTTTATTACTATTAGTTTCGTACCACAAGATGTGGCACTCATCAGATAAATTAGCCTTATTAAAGACTTTTGATAGATAGCTAGTCAATCTAATCTTCAAAAGTAAGAAGATGGATTTAACAAGATGAATTTATAATAAACAAAGAATTACAAGCGATGCAATGTTTAGTGGCATTTGTTTTGACTGGACTGTCATATATAGAACCTTGGAAGGTTTGGTTGAATTTATACTGATTTTCTAGCCAATAACCTGCTTCTGATCATACTAGAAAATATTAAAAACAAACCTGACATGAGTATGTCAGGTAAATCTATATTAACAGAACTTGCTTGTTTGTTCGACATTAATTTTGCAGATTTTTACAAACGATTTCAAAATTTACTGATTTATTTGGAAAGGTGATTAAATGCAGCATGTTTGGCTATAGCTTTAAAACTAAATGGAAATATCGAACTACAGTATATGTTCTGATTTTTAAGATATATTTTCTGCAATTAAATGTATCGATATTAAAATCCAAACTCTAACTACTGTAGGTTTGAATTTAGTTTTTACTGCTCTTCCCAAATGTGACTTAATAAATTACACCATTGGTTCATTGGTAAAACATAATTTCAGCAGGTATAAATCATCCGAAACTGCTTCTGATCTAACTAAAATGTTTTCATAATAGATCCTGTGTCTGATAGTTTGCAAAAAGTATAATTTGATTCAAATTTGAGTGGTAGGTCCAAAAAACGTTTTAACATTTTAAAAATCAACCAAAATTACAATATTCACAGTGTTTATTTACTTGAACAGCCCAATATTTGTATTTTTTCATGGAAAATCATGCGAGATTTCATGTTTAGTCATATGGACATATCACTTATTGCATTTTTCACTATCCATATTGATTTAAAATCTGTATGAATATATTTATTCCCAAAATCCATCAAGTACTGGTACTTTACTATTTGGCAAAAATGGACTTTTAACAATGTACTCTTTAACATCAATTAGTTTAACTTTTGAAAATTAGCCCAAAACTGTTTCTGATCAAACTAATTTCTCTTTAAGGACGAGGCCTCAGTATATTAGTTTGCAAAAAGTATATATAATTTGATTCAAATTTAAGCTTCGCAATCGGGCCAGCCTGGTTAATGTATTTATATGGGCCCATATTTATATTTATATTTATATTTCATTTTTTTTAAAGGAAGGGTGGAAAAATTTCTAGTGTGGTGCAAATGGGAAAGTAGGTGGGGTGAATTTCTAGGGGGGCTTACCCCCCTGTATATGTGCCCATGCTTGAGCCTGTCTGGGGTCCACAGTGATGATGCAGCATGCCTCATCAGGTCAGGCCCTGCTTTCAGTGGCCAAACCAGCGGTCATGCAGGTCATGCAGGGCATGACTAAAAATTTCTCCAAAAATGTTTAAAAATCAGTTCAGTATAATTGTTTACAATAGAATTATATTTTATCATTGCACTTCTCCGCCTAAGTATTTTATTTATTATTTTGTTTACCCAAATCAATGGTCTTTAGGCGATATTTTTGCTAAATATTCTCGTATGTTATTGATTTTGGCATTGTTACCTAGGCAACTGAGCGGTCCTGCATATTTTCACATGCATGACCGGTTGCGTAAGCGCGTGGAAAACGATTGCGTGTGATTGCTGCGTGGTTTGCTCGGTGTGTGTTTTGGTCATGCATTTTCAGAATTTCATGACTAGCTATATTATTTCTGATTGGCTTACGACGTTCGCGCACGCGCAATGCGGCTGTTTTTGACGCCTTGGTCATGCAATTTTCGATTTGCATGACTAAACGGGCAACACAACCTGATCACAGCCTCTTAGCTCGAAGCTTTCAGCCTGAATGAACACGTCTTCAGGTCATTCAAGCATGTCGACTTCTTCTTTACTCGAAGCTAACGATATTGTTTGGGAATTGGTGAGATAACCATTTTCTGCTCAGCAGAATATTATTGTTTATAAGCAGAGACAAACGCCAGATCTTTCGACATGCCCGATGACGATCGGGAAGGTTTTCAAATGTCGTGGTATTCAAAGAAAGAATGGCTTAGCCAGTAAGGCTTAGGCTAAATAAGCTATTGCCTATTGGTATTTAGTTATTGTTACATGTATTTTGTATTGAATATTTAATTAAGCCTTCAACCAGAGCATAGGCGTATAAAGCATCGAGCGCTATATACTATATGAAATACAATGTCAATGTCGAGGTCAGAGGAGGTCGGACAAGCAGGCCGCAAAACATCATGGGTTTCAGCGCCTAATGCCAGGCGTGGCTTCAATGACTCTTTGACTGCCGTGGAGTGAACATCTCTCTGAGTAAACAAATATGGAAGCATTCGAAAGACAAGATTATCAGGCTGCAATACTTCGTCAAAATAGCATGTTATTGCTGTGTTGTTGCGATCCTCATTATGACGTGTGAGTTACTATACCAACTTTACCTTATATTAAATTGCATGGGACGTGCTGTCTTTTTATAGCTTTATAAATAATCCGCGAAGGAAATGTGTTATTCCCAATAGCAAGGCTCTTCTTTCTATTAAAGTTGGATGGAATCTCCGTGTATCATCAACGTGAAAACAAGCGCAGTATTTAAGGTTGGTATCCTACTATGCACTACAGTTGACTTGTTTCAAATTTCCGCTTTGCTGTTTTCAATATTATACTGTAATTTTATAAATACACTGTACAAATTATGGCGTAATATATTCAACCCTTTAGTTTGACCCTATTCCTTTACTTTTTTACTTTTATAACTTTATTGGGAATACTAACAATAACGATAAATAGGTGTTTCCCAAAAAGAAAGGTGCAAACGGGTCAGAAAAAGCCCATGCGAGGCACCTCCCTTACAAACTTTACATAAAAAATTACATTACACTATAAATTATAGTTGAGGTAAAGCTCGATTTGCGCATACCCACAGGATCTCGAAATACGTAAAATGCATGAAGATTTTGGAAAATTTGTACGGAAAATAAAACTAACTTGGTTTTGAAAACGTGTGACTTAGGCATGTACACGAAAGAACTTTACTTCAATCAAAGAACTATACATTATTTAATTTAGTTTCTGTGACATGGACAGTCTCGAACAAGAGACCAGGTACATGGCATGTCTACGTCAAAAACTGAATTACGTAAAAACGAATAAGTCCGACGAAGAAAGTTCTTAAAAGTAAATAATGTCACGAAGCTATTAGGTGATGCAGTTCTGCACACTACATTCCATAAATGAACTGTTCGATTAAAGTAAGAGTTTTTAAACGTAGTTGTTCTACATAACGGCACTTGAAGTAATAGACTGGGATTTAAGGTTAGTCGAGAACGATCATGACTAACAAAACTAACATAATTGCCTATGTCTAAGTCTACGTAACCGTATAGTGCCTTATAGAAGAAGACCAAGTCTTGGATTTCTCTGTCATAACACAGCGGCAGCATGTCCAAAGTCTGAAGTCTCTCCTGGTATGATATCTCACCTATTCTTGATCTTAGGATCCATCTTGTCGCTCGTCGTTGTATTCTTTCGATCTTGACTTTGAGGGAAACATTGGATGGAGACCAAATTTCAGTACCATAGCATAACTTCGACTTAACAAGCGATAGGTATAATGAACGCCGGATTTTGGTTTCCGTCAATAAAGGACAAGTTCTCTTTAGGAGACCAAGCATCTTGTTAGCTTTAGCTGTTATCATTTGAATATGCGAGTTCCACAAGAGATTGTCTGTCACGATGATGCCGAGATCTTTTTCTTTCCGGACACGAAGCAACGAAGATGAACCCAGATGATAGTTGTAAGTCACGGGATATTTCTTTCGAGTCACGCTCAAAACCTTACATTTTAATGCGTTGAACTTGATGTTATTATCATGGCTCCACTTATCAAGGTTGGATAAAGATTCTTGTAGACAATCACCGTCAGTTGTAGAGTTGATGTTTCTAAACAATTTTGTATCATCAGCATACATAGCTTCCGAAGAGCCATTGGATATTACTTCCGGAAGATCGTTTATGAAGACAGCAAAAAGTATCGGACCCAGGATACTTCCTTGTGGCACGCCAGAGATAACAGGAACCCAGCTTGATGGGACACCTTCGACAACAACT